TTGATCGAATTTCGTTCACGTATCATCCAACCGGTTTCCATAAATATTTACGGGGAACAAACACATGATGCGATCAGGACAAACACAACGATAATTTCTACCTTCGCAACCATACGTCTGCAGTGTCGTCCCTTCTGCATCACCACTTCGTACCACGCCGCAGCAACATACGAGGAACAATAACAGGCAGAATGTGCAAACTGTCACTGTCTGTTAAAACTAAACGACCATCGTCGGGAGGCGTTGCGAGATTAGTGGTTGCAGACTGCGCGCCATCAGCCGCGATCCAAGCAGCCTTCCAAGCAGCTGGGACTCGCGCGCCGGTTAAAGACGGCGCGTGTGACGGATTTTCTGCTCTTTTTTTCGCCGCGAGTTGCCCAACTTCAGATCGCGAATCAATTTAACGACTTCGACAGTTCGAGATGCCCGGCTTCGGCGAGGAAATTTATCGCGCAGCGGCACAGAAATTCATATCGGCGATATGCGAGAACCGACTTGGATCGGATTGCGCTTGATCGATGCGCAAACGGGAAACCGGACGTATACGCGAACGCATCGCGCGCAAAAGTATTTCAATTCCGTATTTATTACGGCCGGAGAATTCGCTGCCGCGTGTAAAGAAAACGAAATCGCCATCGGCCGCTGCCGCTGCCGGAGCGACCTGATAAATTGTCTAGCGGGGGCGGAATGCCCGGCACTCGGCCGCTCGTATTTTTATTTGCTTGCGCGGCACATTGCTTTATATCCAAATTTATCTTCTTCTCCTACTTTTTCGCGTTGGGTCGGCAATAGTTTCGTGGATGGTATATTTCTCTCATCTCATTTAATTCGAGCTAATCAAGACCTGAGATCTGAGAAATCATGCGTCGATATTTCGGGATTATTTTAACGACGTCAAAAAAACGTCAAGTCAAATCCTGTCAAGTCATATCTGTGTGCGAGCACATGCGTCGATTTGCCTGTCGTTTGTCGATTATCTTCGCGGATCAGTTGATGTTGAGTTTAATAGCCCAGCTGAGATTACAATATATTTTATTCTTACTTCTCTTTCACACTTCTCTCGATTAATATTTTATATTTTTCGTGTATCTTTATCCCCTGCTGGCACGCTTGACTGGTGGTCAAGTTGTGTTTGTCAAAACGACTGAAATCTCAGGTACTCGCGCAGGTATTTTATATTCTACGAGTTCATTTAATAAACTTTGCAATAATTGCGATTACATTATTCCTCCTCTTCTTCTTCTTCTCCTCCTCCTCGCGTTCGCGATCTTTTACGCTCGAGTTCGCATCGATTCTGTCCAATTACAATTTATAATTTTTACGTTTATAATTACGTTACGTTATATTTTACAACAACTTCCTTCGGAGGAAATCGTTAAGACAAATTCGCAGAATTATTACGACGATAAATTTCGCAGGGATATCGTGGAGCAGTCCTCGCGGCAAAATTGTGGAATAATCCTCGCAGCAAAATTGCAGAGAAGCAGTCTTCGCAAAAGTATTATTGAGATATTGCGAAGCCATCCAGTACGCGTGAGAATATCATCACGCCACTCTCGATTAATTCATCCGCGTACGACTTTGATTGATTTCGCAATTGGGGCGATCGGTCTTCGATTCGTCATTTCTTTTTTACGCGGGCATTTTTCCGAGATATCCGAGAAATTTATCGAGTCGCGTACCCTTTGTTCCCAAAGTGTATCCCGTGTATCTTGACAGACATTCATTAATATAAAACACTTTTGGGCTATGATTTCATCTTTCGTTAAACACATTCCGTTCGTACATTCCGTTCTCGATATAAATTGTAACCTTTTCACCGCATATCGGTGCATCGTTAGTTAGCGACGAAAGATTCTTAAAGCGCAAATATTAATCGCGACGCGAGTCGCGAATAAAATTAAGCGAAGTAAAGTGAAATGTGCGGTCGACATGGGACGGTGCAGAACGGAGGCTTGACGAAGGTCTCTACGTAGTTCCGGATGCATAGCGATGCGCACACAAGGGCGGTGAATTTCGCGACGCGAAATGGTGAGCGTGAAATCTCCAAGCTCACAAAGCATTATCATTATAACATAGCGCTTGTTTTATTCGCAAATCGCATTGATTTCCCACGAGATACGTAAGAATAATTTTACAACATCACTGTTTAAAACTACAAACACCCGACTCCAAATAGAGAGCCAATGAAACTACGTAGCTAACAATGTGCATGGTATATATATACCATGCACATTGTTAGCGATATACGTATATCGCGCGAATTGCATTTATTCGCGCCTATATATCTTTGATTATTCAAGCTACACATATAGTCAAGCTTTAAAGCGAGATCAATGAAGAACAGCGTGCAAGTCAACACGATGGTGTAACAGTAAAATTTCGACCCGAGAATAGTTGGATAATTCAACAACATCAACATCCTGGAAGAACAACATTTTATTATATCATATAGACCCGCTAAGAGAGATCAATATGTATTAAGTATTCAATATCAATGTGTAGTATCGTATATATATATATATATATATATATATATATATACATATACGTATATTTTACACGACATTTTACTATTATTGTACTTATTTAAGACAGAAAGAAACACAATCATCTTAAACTTAATGCTGTCAATCAATACGAGAGCTAGGAGAAAGATGGCAGTTGGTGCGAACATAAAACTGATATAAAATGTATAAAAGGCGTGATCCTCCCTTTAAGGGACTTATAAGGTACGGTTCGCCGGACAATTCGGCGGCGCGAACTCCTTCCCCAAGTGCGATATATAAAGCTCTCGATAGTAATATTCGCACGGTGAATTTCCGCCGCGGCGCGTTCGAAATTTGTTTGTTCGATCGTTCCCCCGCGGGAGATGTTATAGCGTGTAAACGAGCTTTTGTTCGGCAAGTTCCGTTGCCGCCCGCTGCCGTGTGGTGCACGTGTTTTCATTTCGCTATCGTAGCCGCCGAGGCCGCCGCCTCCTCATCATATCATTACTGTTTCAATACGCGCAGGAGGTAAGAACTTCTCAAGTTTCCTCGTCGCACCCGCGAGAACGAACATTTCGCAGTCTCTCTCTCTCTCTCTCTCTCTCTCTCTCTCTCTCTCTCTCTCTCCAACTCCTTTCGCCGCTATATCGCGACAATAGGCGGAGATTGTCGGCGAAGATAACGACACATCGTAGGAGCATAGGAGCGAACTAATACGTAGGCAGTCTGAAAAGTTCTCGGCCTGACAATGAAAGAAAATTTTTTTGCCGTGAAATATATTTTATTTTTCAATATAATCTCCTAAAATTTCAATACATTTATTCCAACGTTTCTCCAATAATTCAATACCATTATTAAAGTGTGATTCCGGAAGGTCTGCAAAATATTCATCCACGGCTGCAATAGCTTCGTCATTTGATGTAAAATGCTTTCCAGCCAGGAATTTTTTCAGGTTTGGAAACAGATAATAAGTCAGAGGGAGCCAAATCTGGTGAATACGCTGGATGTTCATGAAGCAATTCGTACTTTAATTCGTTGAATTTTGCCATTGTCAAAACACTTGTGTGAACACATGTGTGTGTGCATTGTCCTGATGGAAAACGATTCTTTTCTTCTTTAAAGCAGGTCTTTTCTCACGAATTTTTGCATCCAATTTTGCATCCAAAAGGTTACAATAATATTCAGAGTTAATCGTTTTATCTTTCTGAAGATAATCGATCGACAACAAAACATCTTTGTAATCCCAAAAAACTGTTGCCTTGTAACCTTTCCCGCTGATGGAACCGTCTTTGCCTTCTTTGGTGCACGTGGAGCCACCGGCTTCGGTCCATTGTTTCGACTGTTCTTTTCGCTCTGGTGTATAGTGGTGGATCCAAGTTTCATCAACAGTTATGAAACGACGTTTGCCAAATGCATTTTCCGTTTTGCTTAAAACGATCCAAACACGCTTGAGAAATACGCATTCGAATGCGTTTTTGATCAATTGTTTGCAAATGCGGCGGCATCCATCTTGCACAATGCTTTCTCATGCGTAATTCTTCATGCAAAATATTTCCAATTCGTTCTTTCGAGATGCCTATGGCCTCAGCTATTTCACGCATTTTCACTCGCCGATCATCTAACACCATATCATGGACTTGTTGAATGTTTTGTGGTGTTGCAGCAATTTTTGCCGGCAACCTTCGCGTGGATCATCTTCGAGGCTTGTACGACCAGATTTAAAAAGAGCAGCCCATTTTTTTCACAGTGAAAAGTGAGGATGATGTGCATCCTTATACACTTTTAACAATTTCGGATGAATTTCTGTTATTGGTGTTAAACCATCCAAAACAAAGAATTTAATCGCTACGCGATATTCAATTTTTTTTCCATTTTAAAAAAGACAATGAAACCGGTGCTGCTACTCGAATGACTCGACAGATCGAAATAAAATTTTACATGAGGTTTATATCAGGGATGCCACTTTCCAATACAATTATAGCTTGACAGTTTCTAATGCCATCTGTGTGTCAGGCCGAGAACTTTTCAGACTGCCCTCGTACTTTGCGCGAGGCGCTGATCTGGAGAACTTGGAAAAAGTCTGCGAGATACGCCAGTCCCTTCCCTTGGGCATTTTATACTTAATTTACCGCTTGTTTATAACCGGTCGATCCCGGAGATGCATCGGGAATCACCGGCAATCTTTCGGACGAATGAATACGCAAATGCTCAAAAGGTTGGATTTTAATAAAGGATTACGTTAAATTTTAAGCAAATTTCGGGATACATGACGATTACACGACGTGTTTAACGTGCTGTAAATTCTCGCTTAGCGTTTCGACTGGAAACAGTACGCGCTGCGCGATAACTCGATTTTGCAAGGCTTGATTGTTTCGTCAGTGACGCAATTTACATATCCGTGTAATAGCGTGTCAAATACTTTAATTAAAGCCGAAAACACGCGACGTGGAAGGGAGACGCGGAAGAAAATAAAATTGATTTGTGGGATTTTTACAAAGTGACGAGACTGCGTCGCTTGAAAATAGTTTATTCGGCGCGCCTTTCTCGTGTGTACAAATCTGCGTGGTATGCACACAAGTATTTACACAGAAATCTGAGTAGCAAGAATCTGGAAATATCTTTGCCCGCGCCACGTATGCGATCAACGGGGATAACTTTCGATTCTCAGATATACCGCTTTAATCGCTATCGAGCCGAGCTGGATGGAGATACTGGAATGCAGGTAATAATATCTCGCTGTGTGGACGGAAAGTTTACCGTATCTCCTATACCTACCTACCTACCTACAGCTTATACGGCGTGCTTTAATTGCATAATTGACAAATTTTGTGAGAGTAAAATCCGGAGGTCCCCTTCAAACTTGGAAATACCTATACTCGAGAGCGCAAAAGTATTCGACTGCTTGCCACGCATTACGTAGCTACTCTTGCGCCTTCGAGAAATTCCTCGGTGGCTCATTTTAATAAATATACTTGTGTACATATACACACACACGCGCGCGCGCGCGCGCGCACCCTGTGTACGTACAAAATTTCTCATCGTGCGACCTCTTTAGAAATTATATGGTGGGTTGATATTTTTTGGTCCCTGCTCGCTTTCATGTTTGCTTTCATAATTATCACACAAAAGTATGCCGCTTGACGGTATATTCTCTACGACATATTACGGCGTATTTACGCGGGTGTGTGTGGATTTGAGATCGAATAATATTCATGGTAAACATGGTAAACAACACAAACCCGCGCAATGTGCGAATCGATTTGTCGCGACATCGTTACCAATTTTTTTAGCGTGATTTTATACACTCGGTACTCCCCTCATAAAAGTCCAAGCTGCTTTTTACAGCAAACAGCATGCGCGGTATCAGCAAAAACTAATCTATGCAACGCTAATCTGTGTTTCAAAGTTTGTTTCGGAAAACAACGATACATAAGCTGATCCTTTGGACATACAAAATGTTGTCGATTTTACTCTTTAAACTCTCTCTCTCTCTCTCTCTCTCTCTCTCTCTTTGCACTCCTTGCGCAAAGGCAAAGGTAGAAAATTAAGGATAATAAATCAACTACACTTGTATATCGAATAACGATCGCGGACAGTGAATTCCGTTAATCTTAATTCATGTCTAAAATCTTGTCTCTGATATATGTAATCGGAGACCTGCTCTCCAATTTAGAAATCTGTACAATACCTTTTCCCATATGTATCGTCATCATACAATATTACAAAAGTACACAATGTGTGCTTTCTCACATACAGCAATTTGAAAAAATATCGTGACAATTCAAATACTCGTACCATTCAAATACGCGTTAAATGTGTATGTGTGTGAAATTCGCTCACGGACACAAATTCAGAATTTTCCAAATCCGGCTTGAGACGTGCGTTTTTCAAAATAAAGCTCGGCCATGACCGAGCATGAAATCGCTTTGTGCGCGATTATCCATGTGTACGACGCCTCACGGCGTCGACGTCGGCTGTGTGTGTGTGCGCGTGCCAACGTGTGTCGACGTGATCGGTCGCGGCACGCGGCGAGGAGGAAAAGGAAGGTGGAGGAGGTCGCAGTGCGAAATGTCATAAAGTCATATTAAGGACTGTCCGGTGCATTCTCCCGCCAGGCCAATATCGTGTTCATGTCGGTAATGCCACGCGTGCTCCATGGCTCGAGCGGATCCGAGGGCGACGCCGGAGGTGAAAGAGCCGCCTTATTCCGCTCAATCGATTCTTCTCGTCTCCTCGCCGGTTCCTCTATTTCCTTAGGCGATACCCTGCGCATGCATCGTAAAAAAACGAAACGGACCGATTAGAAGAACAGTCGATCAGCTGATCGGTCGATATATCGTTCTAGGAGCCTGACTGAGGGGTGCTAGCCCGGAGCTAGAGCGGATGTTCCCTTAATTATGGATCCGTTCCAACGATTTGCAGAGATGACTTTTCTGCGGCGGCAATATCGAAGAGGGCCTTCGCTCTCTCTCTCTCTCTCTCTCTCGCCTTCTCTCGCGTGTCTCTTCAGTGAAATTGCGCGCGTGTCTTTGTGAGTAAGCTTCAAATTGAAACTCCTTGTAGGAATTCAGGAAAGAAATTCAAGGTGATGCGCAATTTTAGCGTGTATTTTCGCATAGCGAATATACGACGACGAAGAGAGAATGATCCCATGGTCTGGTTTGGATACTGCACGATTGCCGAATGATCGTTGGATCGACGAGATGGAACATGGAGGTAGTGCGTCGATAGTGCGAATGCATTTGGGGAAATTCGATTGTCGTTTTACCTCATGTTTCACTTATGATGCGGCCGATTTCGTTTGAGAAACGAACAGCGTCTTCCTAATTTTCGCATGCCACATGTGATGTACTTTGGGATTCATAGAAAATGTACGTATATATATATGTATAAATATAAAATAAATATATACATACATGTACGTAAAAATTCTCCGCAAGAGTGATTTTATTCGAGCGACTATTCCCGATGTTCGACTTTGCTGTCTCTCAAATACGTAATTTATCGCGGAAAGAGAGATAACGCATAGAGAAGTAACGAGTCGCGATTCCGCGGTTCGGCGGTAATCCGTAACACGTAAGCGTTGTTACCTGTTCTTGGCCGTTTTCGGCCGGCGTTTCTGGACGCGTTTATCCGACGGCTTGGAAACACCGCCGCCGCCGCCGCCGCGGCCGTTCTGCTTGACTTCCGACTTAATTGTTTCGACGTCGGAAGTTCTTCGTCCTTCGTTCTCGACGCGGTTCGCCAGGCTCTCTTCCGAATCATTCAGCAGCGGTCGATACTGCGGCTGACTCCGGTCGACGGAAGTGACGGACGAGGAACTGTCGTTATCGTCGTCATGGTGTGATCGTTTGGATGTGCTGATGAATCTATCATTCGCCGACTTTATCCTCCTGATGCGAGCTTCGGTACCGAGCAAATTGTCGCCTGTGATTGTTATTAATATAAATTATTACGGGAATTACGGGATCGTGTCGTAAAGGATCGTGTCGCCAATTTTTTATACTCTGGAATCAATCTAACGATAATCACGCGTATAAATGTTTCAAATGTTAAATGACCGTTGCCAGAGCATGTTGCAAAATCATTCGAAAGATCCGACTAAGCGAGTAACCGCGTGAAAAGTATCATTGGTCTTAAACAATGTGAACGATAATTATTCACCACCGAGATCGTTGTCACTGGACTCCACCAAGTATTGTTTCTTAACAACGATGGGTTTTTCAACGGGCGGCGGGGCGATCATAGTGAAGTGTGCTAGAATTTGTGGGTCGACCGTGGTTGAAGCCTCACTGGTAGCTAGGGCGGACTTGGCCATTTGCAATAAAGTATCGTAATCTTCCGTAGTCTCGGAGGCGATAGCGAGCTCCAGGAATGGATCCTCGACAGCTCCCTCGTGCGCCTTTGCTTCTACATTTAACACATTAATTGATTTCTCGCGCGATTCCCATTAATCGCTGTGCAACACAGTCGTGTGCGCTTGCACTCGCGACTCGAAGAATCATTGGCTCTCGAATATTATTTATTTACGTCAGACGCGAAAGTCAGTCTCTCTCTCGAGGATTTGTGCACACATAGTACGTAGTAGTAGGTACTGCTACTCACGACTCGCGTTCTTCAAGTTCATCGCTTCCACGCGCGCCGGTTCGGCGGCGGACATATCAATTAGATCCGTGAGACCTGACAACTTGGTCTCCTCCCCCCCGATGGCTTGTTTGTGCGGTTGGACATCCGTCACCGCCTTTGGATTATTCCGAGCCGTTCTCGTCTGCTCGTCGGGGATGGCTTTCGTCTGCCTCGTGTCGATATTGCTCGGTACGCCTTCCGTCGCAGTGGATAAGTCAAAGTCGTGCGCAAAGGCCATTACGTCCAAAGCTGCGGTTAGCGCGTCACCAAAACCTGCAGTAACTGCCGACACTTGTGGCTCGTTGACATTAGGACTGCAATACGTATGAAATTATTACGCGGCGTGCAAAACGTCTCTACCGTCTCGCGCGTAGAAACTCTATCGAGAAAGATTGACTTCAACGTTACATTACAATGCGAATAGTATTTATTTCTTAAATGAGTAATTAGATACAATCAGAGAGAGAGAGAGAGAGAGAGAGAGAGAGAGAGAGAGAGAGAAGAGAACCTACACACGCAACCTCTACCTGTATTGTGCAAATCACGCGACGATATTACAAAGCGCGAGAAAGTAGTGACCTAAATCATTTATTAAAATATCGAGTATTAATTAAAACGGTGTGATTAAAATTGGATTCACAAGAGCAGAGCAGGAACGCGTTCAAAGCCAGTTCAGCGCTTTGAACAAACGTGTCAGCAGTTAAACAGGATGTTGAGTAATTGAATTGCTTCTGGAAAATAAGTGATTCTTTGTTAAAGGCACGATCGGTTCATCTTACATCCTGCTGGATTATGTAACCCCTCTCTCTCTCTCTCTCTCTCTCTCGCGCGCAGAGCTTCATAAATATTTAATTACTGCCGTGAGATATGGTCACGTTCGCGGCTTCGTTACGCGCTCGCCACGTGGAAGTATAGCTAATACCATGAAGGACTCTGGTGTTTCCAGCGACGCGACGTTAGCTATGTCCGGCTTGCAGGTGGCAGGCTCGACGGAGTTATGAGGTGATAAAAAGTATCGCTCGAATAGTGTCTCTCCGACAATGGTGAGTCACTCTCAAGCAAGGGCGTTCGTAAATCTATGCGCCGCACGAGCAGTCGCACGCAGTCGACGTATCGAGTCGAGACAAGACACTTAGTCAGCGACTAATTCAGATAGATTTACTCGTTTTCGCCTTGCATATGTATTTGAGATACTTGAGGACCAAAATGTAACAACGGCGAACACAGATGTCGAAAAATCACATATACATTTTATTCTCGTCTATTTGTTTTGAATTTTGCATTACAATGCAAACAAAATGAAACAAAATGAGAAAACGAATGAGCAATATATGATTGTGGTAAAGTAAGAGTGAGAGAGAGAGAGAGAGAGAGAGAGAGAGAGAGAGAGAGAGAGAGAGAGAGAGAGAGAGAGAGAGAGAGAGAGAGAGTACATTGGGCTATGCAGGATGTTGCAATTTGAAACGACGAGCAATTTAATCGTTAAAAAGTGAGGCGTGCGTCGCGGACAAATGCATCCCCGTAAATATTTCGCGGAATGATACCGCGAGGGTGTAACGAAACAAGTAGCTCTCCGTAGCTCTGGAGAAATACGGTATGATGAGCGCGATGAAAGTATTATTACCTGACTCGCACAGGAGTGGAGATGGACGCACGATCCCACATTATACGGCGTAGCTCCTCGCCAGTCATACCTCGTTTTCTCAGCTCGTTTATCGTGACTTTTCCGACTCGCTGCGAAGATACGACACATGAAGCGATGCGATAAAATTATAACGACGTACTGTCGCACGTCAATGGGGGTTGCTCGCGTTAGTAGTTAGTAGATGGTTCGCGGCACTTTTACAGGCGAAAGTGGAAATTCGAGGAATGTGCTCTTAGCACTTGTTACTTATAAATGATACCCAGCACGTTTAAATGATATTAATAACATTTTTCAAAGTCAAAATTTTGTCTCTGCAAATATGTGCTGGCGCTATTTACGACGATCTATTCATTTACATCGCAAGTTTTTTCTCTGTTCCTCGTGTTGACCCTCGCTGGATCGCTCGCTCGTGGAAAAAGTTGTCGCGGTTTTGCGTATTATTAAAACCGTTTGTTTGTTAAGCAATTTTTTAAGCAAACGTTTCGCGTGATCGCGCCGGAACCTCGACGAGACTATATACTACGCCGTAGCAAAATTTGCTGGACGCATTTTACGAGAGTCGATACCAGGACTCATATCAGCCGAATGGGATATCGATAAATAAATTCTGCGCTCGCTTGATGCGCACGCGAGTGCGAAATAAATCTTTGGATACGCATCGCGCCGGCAAGCGCGCGCGCTTTGCGTACGCACGGTAAAAAAAAAAGAAAAAAGAAAAAGTAAATAAATGTAAGTAAATAAATCACCTTCCAATTAGCCACGGCGCCCTTGCGCTGTTTCGCTCTAGTTTTCGATTTGCTTTTAATAATCAGCACACCTCTCTGCTCCGATGCGGGATTATTCGGATCGTCGCCCGGCCCCAACTTGATACTGTATTCCTGTAGATAATTATGGGCGTCCTTCTGCGACACAGCGCGTTCCAAAGATACCACAATTTTGGCCCACTTGATACAGAAAATTGACAAACAAACAGATCTCTTAATCGAGAAGTTCCTGCTACAATCGCTCAAATTTCATCAACGTTGCCGGTTCACACACGATTCGTTAAATCTTGTATCAATGCAGTTAAATGGCTTGATTGCACTTAAATAGCTTTCGTTGCGCGTGCGTTTTCGTGTGCGTCGGTCATTAATTCAACGACGATTTATTTAACAGAATATACGAGCATCGCGGCATTGTTGGAAAGTTACATCACTTTTGCACCGTTTGACACATCGAAAAAACCTAGCGAGCTGCTAGTACTGAATTGCGGAAAATCCGGGAAATACACTGACCTGCTTCACAAATTCCTTCTCGCTCTGCTCGATAACGTGCGCGTACGTATTACCCATCATGGCGATCAGCATATTGAGCAGCAATATCGGCACGAGCACCATGAAGATCGCAAAGACCGTCTTACTCAAGTTGGGATAGGTCGTGTTACTTAGGTCTGCGTACTGCAATATACACGCACGCATATGGCACAAGCGCAATGCGCGATACAAATGCGCGATTCCGCCGGGCAATTATACATACATATAGGGGGTGCTAATAAACAAGCGGCGGATGTGTGGCCCGATGTAGCGTGCGCCGCCGGCGCGGCGCGGCGCGGCGCGGCGCGGCGACGGAAACACGTGAAATTTTCGAACGGAAACTCGTATTTTCCATGCCACGGTCGTCCAACACCCTTCCTTTTAATTCAGTGCAACGAGTTAATCGTTATACGAACTGCAAAACCGAGCAATGATTTTTTACCGGACAGGCGGTATTTTATGCATCCACTGTCCGTCCATGCAGACGCGCGCGGCGTGCTAAATCTTTAATTTCGTCAGGAAACCATATTGTGCAGTGTGTTTTGCGCGACGCGGAATTGTCCGTGATTGAAATTCAAGATTCATGACCGGCGCTGTGTGTCCTGTGTGCACGTTCACGCGCGCGCGAGTGTATGTCGCTATGTACGCACCGTCGCGACTGGAAAAATATCTTTAGAATAACGCGAGCGCGAAGATTTCATCTGAGCGATTATGACGCGTGTAATAATTGAACTAATACGCCTCGAGCATGAAGTATTTATTTAAGTCCCTCGTCTCTCTCTCTCTCTCTCTCTCTCTCTCTCTCTCTCTCTCTCTCTCTCTCTCTCTCTCTCTCTCTCTCTCTCTCTCTCTCTCTCTCGTTGTCTCTCGACACGCGTGTTTCTTTTTTCTTTTAATATTTCTATTTAATATTTTTTTTAATATTTCACTTGAAATGTGCTTTTGCGCTACGAATCCGATAACAACGAAGAACAACAAGGATCGTTTATTTCCTCTCTATAAAAATTTAATATAACATATACTACCTTCTTGTATGTCATCGTTGACACTTCAACTTTCACGTTAGAGGGAGGATCTCTTGACCGTACGACGCACCATTAAACACTAGATAATTGCGAGATGATTACACGAAATGAAAGGTTACCGGCGCGCAAGTTGTCTCTGTCTTCCTGAATCGGGAGAATTTTTATTACATTAGAATGGTGTGCGTATAAGCAAGAGCAGAAAGATACAAAGGTGAAAGGGCTTGTGCGCGCGCGGATGCGTGCAAGATAAGGCATTTCACGTGGTAGAAACTGAAGTCACGCCGCAATAAAGCGGCACTAATCTACGGACGAGCTTACGTTATAATCGCCCAAGGTTATCTGAAATAACGCCATCCAGGTCGAAGGATAGGAATGGTAGAGGGACGACTTCACGCCCGGGAATCCCTTGTAGAGGAAATAAAACGATTGAGAAAATCCAAAGAGCATGACCGTGTAAATGATGCCGAAGGTCAGCATGTCGCCGGTTATCATGCTGTACACCATCGTGACGAACGGACCGGTCAGTCGGATAGCTCTGTGAAAAGAAGAAGCAACGAAATTAAATATAATCCGCGGTATTCCACGTATGAGGTTTCATAATTAGCAGCTAATATTCCGACGCGTGACGAGGACGCGAGGACGCGAGGACGAGGGTAGCCCGGTAACGTTTCTGGCGGTGCGCCTCCCACATCAGAGTTCGGTTTAATTCCCTGCATTCCTCGCTCTATTCATCGGTTTACTGCGAATCTGTAGTTCGCATTAGCGATGCCAACAAAATGTGATTATCGCTATTACATGAATGAGGTGCCACGTTCCATTCAACGTGCGGTATTCACGCGTCAAAGTCCAGGCTAAATCAGTCTATTAACGCCATCGACATCGATCTCGTGCCTGTATGATGCGCGTAACATTATGCGTACAAAATCCATCGTAAAACATTTGCCGACCTGATACACGGGATACATAATTATATCGGGCCTAATCCGCCAAAATGATGTGTGTTCTACTTCAAACGCGGCAATCGCGGCAAAGATAAGATCGATGATATGTCATCGTGCAGCGAACAAATTCATATACAGGGTTTGTCAAAAGTGTGGAAACCCTTAAATCATTTTTGTAAAAATGAAAATATCAAAAAACGGTAAAACACGTATTTTGATTTTTCAAAAAAGCTACCCTATGACATACCGATATCGATCATTCCCCACCCACTGCACCTACGCGGGGGTAAAAGGGGGGTTGAAAATTTTTAATTGGACTAAGGTTCGAGTGGGGGCTCACTTGAAAGGTCTTTTCGTAGCAAACACATCCTTAAAATTTTAAGTCGCTACGACCCCCCCATTAAAAATGGCGGCCGCTCAAATTTCGAAATTTCATGCACTTAGTGTTATCCGGGATCAACTGGAAGCGTGGAAGTGGCATGAATCTGTTCTCTTGTGTGCGTGCGTGTGGCTAAACAAGTGTGAATGTGTTGTATGTATAGTCGTGATAGGTTGCAAAACAGACGATTGAAAACTGTCATCTCTCTTTAATGATTCAAAACCTTTTACTCCGTGTTTTAAAATAAATTTTATTCAGTGTGTTAAAGTAAATGCTAAAAGTGGCTGCCATTTACTTCCTGACAATATTTCCAATCTTTGATAGAGTGCAGAAATGGCTCTACGATTCGTCTCAAAAGGTATCAAATCTATTTCATCCCTTATTCGCTGTATCAATTCTTGGACCTCTTTCAGGTTTTGTTTTGTAAACTTTACTCTTCAGGTGTCCCCATAGATAATAATCGAGAGGAGTTAGATCTGGTGACCGAGGTGGCCAATCCTCTCCTCCCTCATTTCTGTTCCTTCTTCCTATCCATCGTAATGGAAAAGTCTCATTTAAAATTTGACGTGGCCCTATGACCAAAATGAGCAGGAGCTCCACCATGCTGAAACCATATTTCTTCGAAATTATTTGGAAAAATATTTCGTATGGCTAGAATTATTTGATCTACGAGTAATCCGTCATACCTTTGAGCGTTCAGATTTTCTTAAAAAAAAAAAAAAAACGGTCCTATTAAGTAGCCATCTATTATTCCACACCATACATTTATCTTTTGTAGGTATTGTGTGTGAGTTTCCCGCATCCAATTCGGATTCTCATCTGACTAGAAACGAAAATTTTGATTATTAACTTCTCCCGTTAACGTGAAAGTTGCCTCGTCTGTAAAAACAACTTGATAAGGGAACATGGGCCGGACATCTGTCAGTGCCATCATTCTTTCACAGAAACCTATACGACGCTTCACATCTCCGTCTTGCAATTCTTGAACATATTGTAATTTGTACGGATGGAACTTGCTTTTCTTTAAAATCCTCCAAACGAACTTGGGAGCAATATCGTGAGTTTGAGCGGCTCTGTTAATAGTAGAATTGGGACCTTCAATAAATGTCTGCAGAATATCAAGTTGTTTTTCTTCGTTAATGGCAGGTCTCCCTGATTTAGGGCGATTGTTTACGCTACCAGTTTCTCTGAAACGTTCCATTGTTTTTAAGACAGTGGACTTATTAATTCGACGATTCGGATACGTCTCATTAAATAATTGAGCGACAGCAGCGCACGACCGCTCGTTATCACCCCATCATCACGGATCATGAGGATAGTGATTCTTTCACGTCCCGACAATTCGCCAGCCATTTTTAAAACGTTTAATTTTCAATCTGCCTAAGATCTGTGAGAACTGATTTTAAGTAGCCGTGAGAGCAACTGATTTTGAGCAGCCGGATGATCCTGGATAACACTAAGTGCATGAAATTTCGAAATTTGAACGGCCGCCATTTTTAATGGCGTTTTTAATGGGGGGATCGTAGCGACTTAAAATTTTAAGGATGTGTTTGCTATGAAAAGACCTTTCAAATGAGCCCCCACTCGACCCTTAGTCCAATTTAAAATTTTCAACCCCCCTTTTACCCCCCCCCCCCGCGTAGATGCAGGGGGTGGGGAATGATCGGTATCGGTATGTCATAGGGTAGCTTTTTTGAAAAATCAAAATACGTGTTTTACCGTTTTTTGATACTTTTATTTTTACAAAAATGATTCAAGGGTTTCCACACTTTTGACAAACCCTGTATATGCGTATACTACACGTGCGCTCTTCTTCTCTCTCTTTCTTTTTATTGGCGCGCTCAATTAAGTGAACTCAATATTAGCTAGAGCGTATAGGAGCGTTTGATGCGAATTATTATCATTCGGCTCGTCCAACGCGCCGAAAACGTGTAGAAAAAGGTAGTGCATAATTATTTAAAGACCGACGATTCGCGTCGCTGTAATTTTATATAACGCGCGCGCGCGCGCCTTATAATAAAGTCAAACTCTGCATCATCTCTGGATTTATTATTATCCGGCAGCGCCGGCATTAAATCTCATGTACAAGGAAAACTCTTGATAACGAAATGATCGGTTAACGAGTTAAAAAGTGCGTGGCTCTGAACGCTTGATATCGGAGTTCAGTGTATCGCACGTTATCGCGTTTTCAGTAGCCGCGATAACTCGAATAGGTCAGACACGAAAAGTGCCTGTACAGCAATTCGGGGTGTATATGTAAACCACTCTTCTTACACGCAGTTAAAATTTATAACGAGTATAAAATAATTAAATGCTAATAACTCCAGCAGGGAGAACAGAAAAATTTGAATACACTATTGATTAACCCAGAAAATGATTGATAATATGCGTATGTGAATGCACATTTCTCGCTAGTGTGTGTGTGTGTGTGTGTGTGTGTGTGTATCGTCCCCGTAAACTTTATACTTTAAATGATTTGTATATATAGTACATAGAAGAAAAGGTTTCCTAACTTATCGTGGCTAACAAAAAAAGAAAAAAAATATGACAAATAACCGAAATTATTCATATCGTACAAATGTGCACAAACGGATTCCGATACAATGGAATAGTAAAATTATATATTGCGTGTGCAAATTACATTACGTAATAAAATTATATTGGGATTAAATTAATAAAAAAGGAGAAAATTCATTACGCGGTATGTAGAGCATTTAAAATGTTTAAAGGTCTCTCTCTCTCTCTCTCTCTCTCTCTCTCTCTATTGATGTATCTATATTCGTTCACTGGCAGGAAATTTCCGTTGATTGCATCAACTTTGTAATATGCCAATACAAGTAAGTTACGTCTTTTTCGTTATTGCAGAGTTGGAATCACGACTAATACAAAGCAGACTTTGAATAAGTATTAATGTACTACATTTTGTCACTGTCATAAAGTAGCTCCTTGAAAGATTTATTCCAACCGATATCGATCGATATATCGATATATTGCCAATCGCATTTCTACTATTCACGCATCATAATTTTCGCGTGTGTGTACGTGTGACGACATGAAATATATAATTTACATCTTCGAATTGAAGAGAGAATTAAAGGATCCATCACAACTGCGGTCTCGCTGCCTTACAGTTGGAAAAGTGTGAAGGTTAATTGAAAATTTCACTCAAAAATTTGAACGGAAATGAATTAAATTCACACACGCTCACGCCGAACCCTTCGTATCCCTCCAACTGTCAACTTTTTTGCATTTCGAGAGTAAACGCACTTGTTAAATTTGCCGCGTTGTGTCCGCGGCTATACGATTACAACGTGCCGCGGTCCGCATCGATAAAATCAAAACGATCCGTAATCCGAGACCCGCGGCATCCGGCGTATCATATGCGAGCACAATGGGTGCGAGCCGGAACTCGACGGAACCGTAGGACGAGCGATTAAAATCGATGCAGCCGGACGGGTGTACGGCAACGGAAAACAAAAGCTTTTTAATCCCGACGTATCTCCGCGCCCGTCGACGGGCCGACAAATTTTTCAGATTCGTCATTCGCCCGGGATTAAGATTGAAGAGACTCACGTGCCTCCGCGACGAACGAACGGGTAAACGAGCGAACGAGAGAACGAACGAGAGAACGAACGAACGAACGAACGAACGAACGAACGAACGAACGAAGCAGAGAACGAACGAACGAACGAACGAACGAACGAACGAACGAACGAACGAACGAACGAACGAACGAACGAACGAACAAACGATCGAGCAGACGAAAGAACGGCATGATCGACAAATAACAGAGGAAGAGGAAGAGAGAGAAAGAGAGAGAGATAGAGAGAGAGAGCATCGATCGAGTTTCCATTAACTCCGACGACGTCGTCGTCGTCGATCCATTGCCGGTCCTACCCTCTTCCGCTAATCGATGGGTGACCTTATCTTGTCAAGGGTTACCCGGCGCCCATAAATCTTCAGTCTTTCTCTCGGAGTAAGTTCAAGGGAGGGACAGCCGCGATATATAGAAATGTCCCCCACCGCGGTGGGGGGAATGCTCTCTCCTCTTCCCTCGTCCTCGCTCCACCCTCGGCCGAATAATAAATCGGTATGCCTGTATAGCGATATAAGCGATGCAACTTGAATGAGGGATATAACGTCGTTGTCCTGGGTATCGCGCGCGTATACGTTGTCTCGGAAAAATCAATAGAGCACGCCGACTTCCGCTCGGCAAACAAGTTTCCGCTACGCGAGTTTTTCCCCGATACTTTTTAGTGAAGTTCGAGAGTGAAGAAGGGTCGCGCGGGCGCGCGCGCGCGCGCGCGCTTTGCTCTCCTCGCTCGCTTTTCCCTACTCGCGCGATACAGCTGCGGGCAATTATACCGGATTAATGCCAGATGAGCCACCGTCGCGAGCGGCCTCGCGCGACGATGGATATTAAAACTAAGCAGTTGCGCGTTGAGATTGTCGCTGCTGTAATCGATACCGCCGAGTCAATGAATACGGGGCTGGCTTCGAATTGGCTCGCTTGAAATATTATTCTTGCGTGTATACAGCGTGTATACAGAGAGCGCAGGCCGTTTCGGGTTTACAGGTCGCGCGTGTAAACATTTCAGCTGCCGCGTTGCACGGCACACACATGCGTGATGCTCTCGCGGTGCACGCGCGTTTGGCACGCGTTACGACGGCACGGCACGGAAAAAGGCGACGACTCCGTTTACCGTGTAATTTACGCATTCGCATTCGCCGTGCATGCATGGGTAATGTTTGGTGAATTGAGCGAGAAGACACGTCTGTCTGTCTGTCTGTTAACCCGCGTTTGCGTCCGAGTTCCTTTGGAGAAAATGCGCGTGCAATTTTTCATACATACTTCACTTCAGAGTGTGTGTGTGTGTGTGTGTGTGTGACTCTGGAAATGTTGAAGCGTGTTAAGCACGGCCCGTGCGAAAAAGCGACGTCGAACAGCGCGAGCGATACCGCGCGAGAAAAATTTACAACCTTATTTTTGACGTCGTAATTTAACGGTCACACTTCGACCCGAAACTTTGGACGTAAAAAGCTAACTCGATATGTTACCGGATCTTTGTAAAGTGGAGCGCGATAGATTTTATCTATTTAGTGCGACGTGGAGCGCGCACAAGAGAGCGTGGCAGGAGCGAGAGAGAGAGAGAGAGAGAGAGAGAGAGAGAGAGAGTGATATTCTCTCGTGCGTAATTACTGTCCATCAGGACCCTCTTTAGACTCCGGCGTCACTTTGTTCGAGTACATATACGTACAATAATTCCTCAAAGGCACCCGCGCACTCGGCTCCGTGTTTCTTGTCCTCCGTACACCACGGCTGTCGTTCGCTTGGCAATAAGCCACAGTCTGAGGCTGAGATTAATTTCGCACAAGATTTCACGCGAGAGCCCCGTTCTACAACCGCCTCTACAGTTACGGCCTAAATGCTTTACGATGTACCATTTACGAACCGTGCCGTTTTACGGTGTCTGTTTAAATTCGATATACTTACTCATTGCGCTCCTGCACCAGAGCGCTCCTTCTCGGTGTACCTTACTCGGTGTACGCCGACACTGCTAAGAGGCGCAGAATTTCGCGCGTTCCTTCCCCGCCGTCTTAAAAGTCGCATAATTGCTCGTACCTGTGTTTCTGCATCGCAAAAATGGGTCGCGATGAGGAGAGGGAACGGAAAGACGAGCGAGAAGGGAGGGGTAGAAAACAATTCCAAGTGTGAAAGCACATATCCGAAATTGTGTGCGCGAAACTCGGCGGAACTCTTAATTCTACCGTTGAGGAAACGGCGCGGCCGAATGTTGTTCGTGATCGAGATCGTGTTGCCGAACCGAAACGCACTTCTTGCTCGACGATGATCATTAGCTGGCCTCATAGGGTCTGGCTGAAAAGCGGAAACGACGACTGTGACTGTTGGTGTCCACCTGACACCCCGCCGCCGTATCCGCCGAAATGTCGCGTAGTCGTCGTCGTCGTCGTCGTCGTCGTCGTCGGGATGTTTGCGTGTCCGCACACGGTCCGCAGCGGAACAAACCGAGAAGTTTGTCGAAAGGAGCAGCTGCAGTCCGACTGCCGTTCGCGATGTCGGTCACGTAGCCATGATATCACGTATTAGGGAGCGAGCGAATATAAGCACGCGAATGCGAATGCACGTCTTCGCCTCTCGACTAAACCATTTGTCCCGTTCTTCACTGGGAGTCCAGAGTCCAGAGTCGACGGGAAGTGTGTCGTTCGACTCGACACGGGCGTTCGTCAAAGTGTCGTTAAGCGGCAGAGAGCGTTTGTGTTACAAGAATCCAGTCGTTGTCGCTAACGCTAATATAGCGCGAAGCAGCGCTCCTCGCGAAAGTTTCCCCCGGTCGCTGAGATGACAAATCGTGCCTACGCGTTGCGCGCAGGTGATGATGTTTCTGGGGATCTGCGCGCTGACTTACACAACGCCCGACCGCGGTCGGAAGAAAATAAGCGGTAGATTGGAAGAAAAGCCTATATATACGATAATTACGAGTCTTAGATCATGCCGATGATCACGAGAGAGAGAGAGAGAGAGAGAGAGAGAGAGAGAGAGAGAGAGAGAGTATAAAAATGAATCGGATGAAAATGTCGGACAATAAGTCGCAAAATTTACTTTCGCGACGAGTCTCACGTAAAGATCTCCCGCCCTGCGCCCCGTTATAAATACAACCACGCGTTTATGAATACACGTGCCGGCCGAAACCGAAACCCGTTCCCGGTCGCCCGGTCCCCACCCGTGGTGGTGGTGTAGTGGATGTAACACATAGCGAAAAAAGAAGGGGGAAATACGACACGTGACAGCGTGTAGAATTCATTCTTTCATAAATATAAAAATAGCGGTCTTTTCTCAGCCCCCCCCCCCCCCCACAGCTCTCGGGACGGCTTCGAGACCGCTCGAGACCGCGCTCGAAACGATCCTTTCTCTCCCTCGTTAATCCACCATATTTAGCTCGTACTCAAAAATAGCCAATCGCGATTATTTTTTCTCTACGGGCGCGCGCCCGTATGTAATTCCAATGATAAATAAAAAGACAGGGCAGGTGCGTTTAGTTATATCCAAAGTGCGTCTCGAGGAAGGAAGGAAGGAAGGAAGGATCCATTCACGCTCTATTCAGTCCGACAAATTTCGCGAGCCGTCTCAACACAAGTCGAGCCGGCTACACACACACACACACACACGCACGCACGCACGCACGCACGTGAGCCCAGAGCAGCGTTAACCCCTGCCTGGGGGGGAAAGTGGCGACGGTGGTAGCGAGCGTTAAAATGATACGTAAAACAAACGGGGGCGGGGGGGAGGGGGGGGGTGGAGTGTGACCCGGTCGCCTCGCCGTCGTACCGGTAAATTGCAAGCACTTTAATTTCGCGGCCGCCTCTGTATGTTATTACTTACCCGGCGAAAAACATGAGAAGAAACCACGAGCCCGGCACGGCGAACACCAGTATCGCATCCTCCGCGTGCCGATTGCCGGCGATACGACATGGAATGCACGCGAGAATGAGCAGATTGCTGATCACGAATATCAACTTGGCCGGTTCGTGGCTCTGAAATGCAAATGCGCGCAGGCGGAACGTTAGCGCAGCCGCATGCACTCTTGCCGCTTGTAACGTTTCAGGAACGTCCGCAGGAGAATCGATATTTTCGTGCAATTTCGATACCTTCCCGTAACGACGATGAGATCGCGCGCGCGCGCGGCAACAAGAGTATCTTGTACCGATCTCTGTCTCCTCTCCTTTGTGTTTCGATATCGAATTAATAATAGCAACAAGCGCATCAGCCTGAACTTCAACTCTGGAAGATAACCGGGCTGGTTCTTCCAGCCCGAAGAAATCAACAACAGGACCGAAATATTTTTCTACGACACAAAGAGCGCTTCCTCGCACGTCCGGCCGTTCGGCCGTTTCGGAAAAGATAGTGAAATTTTAGGTCGAGTAAAAGTAAAGGGTTTTTTTTTTTTGCAAAATCCGCAAATGGATTTGCGGATTTGCCTTTCCTTTTAATAACGGTGTACCGAGGAAATAAAATTTGAGCTTTCACGCGCGCGCGCGTCGCAAATCGAAAAATACGACTCCAAATAAATGAGAGAACGAGCGTTTTACGTATAGACATTCGACATTAAGTGATGAAACGTTGAGTTTATATTTACGCAAAATTAGGCAAAATATTTTCGACCACACCTGGGTCGGCAGGCAAATTGCACGTTGCGACGACGAGATGTACACGCGCGGTCGGCCGTGCGTTAACGCATTTTTCAATCGTCCCCGGTATTAATTACCCGCAAATCGGAACGGACGCGCACGGACTGGGACTCGCGTTTAATAATGCAACGATATAGCTTACGTCGTATACCGATTGTATTGTCGGAGGGCTAGTACGGTGTACTAGCATGAATATGTGGGGGTGTGCGCGCGTATCGATCCAGTGCGAGCGATAACCAACGACGTATATATATATATATATATATATATACGCGTATACGCGTAAACGTATATTCTCTCTTAATTGATTGATATCCGGATGGATAACCGATAGTCAACGATCATGCGCCTTTTCTACATTTCCATGTTTCACGCGCGAGAATGTCAAGTAAACGGACGGCATATATTATCATCGCGCGCAAACTATGTACTACATACACGTACGTGTTCGATAGTTACACACATGTGTGCGAATAATGTGTAGAGAATAGTGTGTGCGTGAAATGTCCTCTTCTTCCGAAAGAAAGACAGGACGAGAGAAAAGTAGAATGCGTGTGTATGCGCGTGATGTGTGCGCGCGCGCGTGTGTATGTGTATATATAAGTATGGCAGAATGTGTCTCGATCAGCTGAAATTTCCTTCGTTTCGCGTTTGATGATGAGCGAAAAAATATATCTTACTATCGGCCAGATAAGCAAGGGAAAACCAGCTCGTTTCTTTATTTGCGATGGATTTTCATGGAAGAAGATTTTACGCTCGAGGAATTTATATACAGTCGGTACGTCGGTACGTCATCAGACGAGCCTTCTTCGAATCTCGCGGCATGTGTATGTATAGATATGGTGGATGTAGATTAGAAAGGAAATCTTAATTGGACTAAAGCACCCACGCGCGCGCGCGCGCGCGTCCGCGTTTGTTCCGAGTTGAAGAAGAAGGAGGAGAATCCGTCTTTGTTACGGGGGTCGGGGGGGGGGGAGAGGCATATTGCAAAATATCGATTCTACCAAAAATACGTACTTGCAAGACGCAATCAATTATTCGCTGCCGGCGGTGTCTTCTGCGGAGATTTCATTTTCCTATGATATTCGACTATATAATGCGATATTCGCTCGAGGCAATCCGATAATTAAATCCGATATCGTGGCATTAATCTCTCGGAGAGACAACAACGTGCACACGTACGTTCGTTTTATTTCTAAAAATGTGTATACTTGCGTGCTTCTCGCAAGTACCTGATGATAAAAATTGGAAAGAGGGAAGAAACAGAAAATGTCCCTCATAAATTGTATCCTATCGATATCATGTTTTCAATGTTAAATCTACCTTACTATCGGTCCAATAAGGCGAAAGAAGATCAGCTCGTCTGCTTACTTGTGACTTTATACGTAAGAAATGGAGTTTGTTAGTTGACGATATGTCGATGCAGAAGCATCGTCATCAGAGATTCGCTCCCTCGAATCTCGCGATACATGTACCGCGATATGTACTATAATACATACATGCGAGTGCCTGCATGTGAGTTAATGAAGTTATTAGAAAAGAGACCGACAGGATCTCGCAATAGCGGCGCGGTATCGCGCTGCCGCTATTGCTATATACCGCTATTCGCAATGCGTGTGTAATCATCGACCTATCTTTCTCTCATTCTTTGGGCTCATTAATGCGTGAAAGATTAGTGCCACGAGCGTACGGTTTCCAGCAGCCGCTGGAATATACCTCGCGCGTCCATCGTGATCCGTTACAGTTCACTAGCCTCGGATTTGCGCAACCGGCTGCACTTAGCCGGCATCGCAACCGAAATTGCACCGTCCAGCATCGACATCGCGAGCCGCCGCGGCCGTCACGAAACAACGGGGCATTTCACGATCGGGAGAAACCACGAAGACGATGCAGCAGCGTTGTTTCTCATCGTTTGTTTCTCGAGAACCCTAAAAGGTTCTCGTGCTCGCAGTGTGGAAATTTAAAGGAAAAAAACAAAAGAAAGAGAACGCGAACGAGCGTTGAATCTGATTTTGGAAATTGGATATCCGATTCTTCAAGTTATGTCGGTTAATATCGAGTGTTTCACATAAATTTACGAGCGCGCAACCATCTGAAGTTGCATAGTTGCATAGATGGAAATTGAGGAAAAAAGAAAAAAAAATATATATATATATGTATAGATTCTATATATAAACCTCTCTTTCTATTCTAGACTAGCTAGGTAAAGCGCACTCTTGAAACCTCTTGAAATCCGACGTTGAACCTTGCTGTCTCACGCTTTTATCTAATCTCCGGGCAAAAAGACACAAAGGCTTACGATTAACGTGCGTATCAGTGTTCAGCGACTTGAGCAATTTCTCGAGCTTCTCGAATCTGAAAACTTGCGTGTCGCGTGGCAAGCCTCGGGCAAGTCTATGGTCCGAAACGAGACTCGAACAGCGTGGTGTGTCGTCGTAAACGGAGAGAAAGATCCAAGCCTACCAACCAGTTGCTTCAGGAACGACAGCGGACCGATGTTGATCATCTCGCCGCCCAGTTGCACCAGGATGTAACTTAGCACACCCAGCACGGTACTGCATTCCGCCGCGATGCGGGCGGCGTCCGTAATCTCGTCGGGCCACTGCAGCAACTCGGCGTCCATGTCCGCGGGCCTGAAGTACACGGCTAAGGACAGCGAGGCCAGGTGAAACACCAAGATAATCAATCGCTTCAGGAACTGCAACTTTTCGTGGAGAATAGATGTCGGCGTATGCACTCACGAACTTTCCGCATCGATTGGCCGGAACATAAGAGGAAAGTTTTACGAGAGTACTATAGGGGCGAATATAGGTGGGCGGGCGGGCGGACTCTTGCGAAAATATCGTCGGTCCCCGGGGCTAAGCTCGAGGGGGTTTTTCGGCTATGAGCCGAGCATTCGAGATGATCGATTTCCGGCCCTCTCGCACATTTCGCGTCGCGTCGCGTCGCGCCGCGCTTCTGTCCGTCGTATCTCTTGCGCGTTCTCTCATAAGCCGCGGGGTTATGGTACCAAGTACCGCGTGAAGAAGGCGTGATTTACGGCAGGATCCTGGATAATCTGGACATGTTCGATCACGGATTCCGTCGATCGTAAAGCCTCTCTCTCTCTCTCTCTCTCTCTCTCTCTCTCTCTCTCTCTCTCTCTCTCTCTCTCTCTCTCTCTCTCTCTCTCTCTCTCTCTCTCTCTCTCGTTGCACAATTAATATCACTTGTGTTTATTTATTGCCAAGTGACATTACATTTATTTGCAAGATACACACCTCGTGTCCGTGACGAATGTGTCGCGCGATTCGACAGCGACGACGCATCATAGAACATCGCGCGAATATCTGCAACGCCGCATGGTCGTGAGTATTAGCTGCGTCGTCTCACGCGACGATCCAATTGAACTAAACATACAACACACGTCGTGCGTTTGCGTCTTTCGCGTTTTCTCAAACGCGAGCGTCATCAAACGCCGCCCGTACGTAAAGCGGTCGTTGCACGCGCGTCCCGTTAAACGGACATGATCGCTATAACGAAGCGCTCGACTCGGATTGACTCCGCGCGATCGATCGGATAATAGGAGAATCATCGCGGCCGGATACGCGGTAATACTGCGTCTACGTGCGGTTCGAGTGTGTGGCCATGATTAGTGCCAGAAATGGGACACGTTATGGACGCGGTGCAGTTATAATATGCGCGATACGCCCGTCCGATCGACGTCGGAGCTTTCGACGTACGGAAGCTCGTTCGTGATGCGATCGTAATTGCAATCAGCCCGCCCGTATAACTTCGATAGCCATCGTTTCGAAATCACTGAGCCACCGCGAGTCCGACGGAGTGACTTGAAATAACCGATGCAATTATACGCCATCGCCGGAAGCCTCATCGACGTCACTCGACCGGCTGATCGGCTGGGTGTTAATCGTTCCAAGTCACTCGAGAGAGGAAGAGAGAGAGAGAGAGAGAGAGAGAGAGAGAGAGAGAGAGAGAGAGAGAGAGAGATATCGTACTCGACGTCGCGTTGGATGGACCGTGATGATATCTCGAAATATAGATGCGCTCTGTGCGCTCGCATCCGCACTGAGAGGGATCATAAATCATAAATTCCACTCGCACGCGCGCGCTTATGACAATTTAAATATATAATACTATTTCCATCAATCCGAGATGGCTGCGCGTTAAGTCGGGCTTCCGAGGAACTCGCGTGTGCTTTCTGAATATTTTCATCACTGCACGAATCGATATGTTCATAAAGCCAGCTGTGTGAATATCGATATAAGTGACAGTTTATTCCATCAATTTGTTTTAGCCCGTTTTAGCGGAACGTGAAGCTTCCGAGCGTCAAAAAATTAAGATGTGCAACACTGCTCGAGTTGCGAGTCGCGAGTGACGGCGGATCGCGGATAGCGCGATTCCGAAATAACGTGTATTTATCGGCATCTACATATCTACTATCTAACAGCTTGCATTGTCAATTTCATGCTATATTCGGCGTTCGAGAAAGCGCTTCGTGTTTCGAACGATGCGGTTTGATCTCGTGACGTAAACTGCTCTTTCCTATCCCCTAGCTTTGTTAGTAGTAGCATGAAGGATTCCAAAGATATGATGCAACGATTTTCGTAAAGTATGTTTTCGTGTCGTCGAAAATATCTTACTCGTATCAAAGTGCACGGAATATCTCATAACTATCGCTATTTTTCTATATATGCTATAAATTCTGCGACAAATTTAGATTTGCTCCTTTTGCATTGACCAATATTCCAAGTGGTAGGTCCAATTGCAAAATTAATTAACGTAGAAAAGTAGCAGTTTATCTCAACGAATAATTTCCGAGCGGCTTCTTACGATCTCTCGATTTAAATCTTTTATAAATCCGATGTGAACCCGCCTCCCCCCCCCGCCCTTCTCCCCCAGGTATATAACTCGCATTATTCATTCAAATAATACACGGTGCGAATACGTCTTGCAAGTCCGTCTATAGATAATTGTACAACCATAAATACGCTCGTTCTCTCGATATACAAAGTGCTACTTGCTGCGCGAAAGAAAAAAAGTACACGATATATATTAAGCACAAAAGTATAAAATTGAAGGACTGCAGCGGCAAGGAGCAACTCCCATTTTTGGTGCATTGAGTTACGTACGGAACATGAGAAGAAAAGAAATCTTTCTTTTGTTCGGTGCAAGACCCGGGTAGTCGTATGAATATCCAATAGAGTTACAAGCTGAAAAGAGCCGGACGTGTTCTACGTTCGACGGAAGAAAAGAGCAGATCCTAGCAGATACCGTTAGACAGACACATTAGCATAGCGCACCTCTAGCGCACCTTCGGCGAATACGAAGAAACGATTGTACGCAAAGTTCGAGTTTCACTTCGAAGTTTCATTCTCAGACGCGTGATTACACGAGCGTGATTATTTTCGCGGCACTGGCCGCTATTTTATTCCTCGAGGCTAATAAAATTTCGTTCCGCGGCAATGTACAGGAAAAAATTAAGCACTCGCGAAGTGGCGGTTTGACTTGAAAATTGACTTGATAAAAGACGAGGTCGCGCGGGACAGTCAACTCGTATGTTCCGTCCGTAACGAGATTCTATCTCGTTGCGGACGGAATACCCCCGAGTCATTGTTACAGAGTAAAGTCAGGCGTGAAGGCGGAGATACTTGCCGTGTGCTGACGCACACGCGTGCTCAGTGCTAAAAGCGAGCCCACGGTGTCTGATTCTCTGACTGAAGCAACGTCGCATGCATGACTTTTGCATAAGATGGATGAAAGTTTCGAATCACAGACGGTCGCACCGTCGACCGCTATAAATGACCGCTGAATGTGGCCGGTCAAAAGAGAGCGAAGGGAGACGATGAAAAAGTGGTTGGTGTGGCGGTATAAAGCATATTATATAATTCAGCGGGAGAAACGAGCGGGAAACGCCATCACGTGGACGCACTTACTCGCGCAAAGGTCTTCCATTTTTCCTCAAGTAATCGCTGAATAACACCACCGTCCAGCATGTCCAAGTGCTCCTCCTTCGTACCGTTCAGAATGATAAATAGCGCAGAGTTCCAGTCTGAAATAGAAATTCGGAGAGAGCCATTTGCGGTTAATGGAACATCGCTTTAGGGTTTGCGCCGCGATAATTATGGGTTTTGCATTAGTGAGCGTGCGTACGCCGCGGCGTAGCGTACCGCCGCCGTGCAGGTGCGAGCGCGAGCGCGGCACCTTTTCGGCATTCCCGTCGCATCCAGCGCGGAAACTTTCCCCGTCGCGGAGGCGGAAATTTTCCTTTGGTCGCGCATCCGCGCGGACCAAAGGACAATGTGGCCTCGATGCCATTCGAACATTTCATTCGAAAATACGCCGCAATCGGCGAGAGATGGTGCGCGCGCGTTATTACCGAGAAACCGAGTCGGTGTTTAAGTATCTGGCGGAGTCGCATCGTATTGTATATGTCGTATCGCCGCAACAAACCGGGTAATCCGAGACAACAACAACAACGGATTCATCGTGTGAGGTCGAGTTTTAAATATTTAAGTCACAGTTAGCGACTTTTAACATTTTACCTTGGTGCGATCAATATTCGTACACACACACACACACATATATATTTGCTGCCGAATCGCATAGTGAAATATTAAGTGTAACGTTCATGTACACACCGGGAAACCCGGTTGTATCGATCGCATGCATCTGTCGTCGCACTTCGCCTGGCATGGCGCGAGTGCTAAAGTAATTGGAACTTGGAGAATTGTATCCTCGGGAGTCCTTAATTACCACTCGACTCAGGCGAAGGTGTACACGGTAGCTTGACCCGTCAAAAACATTGTTCCTCGGTTTCGAAACGTCTCAACCGTGTCAAATACGCTACGAACAATGTTATATTAACTTGATAATCGAAAATATCTCTCAACATACATGTATCTTTTCCTTTTCCCTTTTATTTTTGATAAAAGATGCACAAAATATTCTCTCTCTCTCTCTCTCTCTCTCTCTCTCTCTCTCTCTCTCTCTCGCTCGGTCTCTCTCTCTCTCTCTCTCTCTCTCTCTCTCTCTCTCTCGCTCGGTCTCTCTCTCTCTCTCTCTCTCTCTCTCTCTCTCTCTCTTTCTAGTTAATAAACCGAAAGGAATTCAAAACAATCTTGAAACGAATTCTGAAATCCAAAACTCTGACGGTGAGTTTGTTCGCACAATTCAAACACACGAGGTGAATTTCCTACCGATCTCAAAGCTTTCAAACGCTTACATATTTATAATTCTGGAGGGTAGTTTCGGTTTCGGATCGGCCGGTGGAGCGGTAAAACGCGTTGCGCGCATCCGATCCTAATGCGATACCTTCGATCATCAGGTCTTCAATTTTGAATGACGGCTGCTGATCTTCCGATGAGATCCGTGCTATCCGCGGCGAAGTTACTAACGCGTGTCCGTTACCGCAGCTCGTAATTATATCTGACTTTGGAACGCAGAGCCATGAGATAGTTTTCCCTGAGCTTTCTCAGTCCAGGACTATGTCCAGTGACCCCGGCCGGGCATTGAACCAAGCTTCAATAACGAACTACCACTTTGGTAGTTTGCTCCGATCGGCAGTAATTATCTCGGAGAACCGTTCGCGAGGCTAAGCAGGGCGTATCTTCGGGGCAGACGAGGTAAGATTCGTAAGTGGTGATGGATTTAAATTCGAATAATCCGGATAAAATATCATCCATGGTCGTCCACACTTTAATCCAGAAAATCCAGGAAATAATGCAAATTTAACTTTTTTTTATTTTTCACCTATTTTTGCCTATTTCGCCGAGACGAGACTTTTATTTAGTTCGCTCTTTTCTGGGGTTTGTACCATTTATTCTCCAAGGTCTTGTATTATTGCGGTAGCAATGTGCGAATGTGTGTGTGTGTGTGTGTGTGTGTGTGTGTGTCGGATATTCTTGAAATAAACATTAGCACCTAACCTCGATATTTTTCTCGAGTTGACAAGCCGATAGCCGTTCTGGTATTCAAGTTAAATAATAAAACAGGAAGGAGAGATCTGTGACGGCTCAATGGATAATTAAAATCATACTGGCCTCTACCGGGTGACATTGAGTTTTCGAGGGCAATTTTTCTTCGTCGAAAATATGATTTGACGCGATGTCAGCTATTGAAAATGAAATATGTTGATTAAATTGAATGCGCGTTCATTAAGTGCGCGAATTAAGCTTCGGAAAGTTTGTAAGCAAGTTACGAAATTATGGTGTTCTTTGCTGTGTCGCGTAAATCACGCTTCGCCAAAGTTTGACTTTAAAAATTAACGTAACGCGACGAAATTGAATTTTGTAAAGCAACTTTAGATAAAACAAAACTGTCATTAAAATTTTATCGCGCGTATACCTTACGTACGTAGCTGTTATCGACACATCCGCCGATATTTCCAGTACACATATATGCCCTATAGGATTATATCGTTCATTCGCAAATATGAATGTCGACAAATATGTGCGTTAGAGGTGAGCCAAGAAAATCGTTTCGTTTAATTTGATTTTCTCTTTCCGCAGCACTGTGTTCGCAGGCTGTTGCGAAACATTACAACTCGAGGAAAATGTTATAATTCTGTATACAAACACAAAATCAAACCGCCCATGTACATTTTACGTGTGTGTGTGTGTGTGTGTGTGTATAACTTGTATAATAACACAGAATAACTATCGATTTATGTATGCAGACCTTGTTAGCTTTAACACGTTGGAAATTAATATCGGTTACAAATTTTATCAAAGCGACCAATTTTATCGAATGTATTAAAATAATACATTAAAATTACAGTTCCATTCAAATAATACAATCATACTGTACTCTCACATATCGTATAATATAATTCCTTGCATTCCTTCGTTACACCTCAGATTTTATTTGTGCAAATATTTTCCCCGGATAATTTAAATGTCTCACAGACCACAGGCCAAATGATCCTGAAAACCGAAGAAAGAAACGCGAGAGATTTATGAGTACACCAGGTAGAATATTTTTGTCCCTGTACATTGAGCGGATTTCGCACTCTGTATCGTTTCCACTCGACCTCGAAAGCTGCCGGGAGTCCTCTTATGTGGCGTCGTCGCTTATGTGTGAAAGAAAACTCTGAAATAGGAGCGCGAGTTGAAAGAGGGCGAGCGTCTTAACGATCGCGCGTCGTCAGGAATCTGTCTGTCCTCAGCCAAGAATATCGTAAGCGGCTCAAATAGTCGTGAGCGCGTCGTGACGTTCACACGCGACCGACGACGTCGTATCTCGCGACGTCGCGATTACTCGCGGATTAATCTCGTTATCCTCGAATTTACATAAGAGTACAAGCGCGACACGAGACGGTGCACGGCGCGTGGCCGTGGCCACTGCATACGGAAATATGCTGCAAAGCGCGACAAAGGCTGCAACGCCCGCCCCCCCCCCCCCGTGCAGCTTTTACCTTGTGTAAATTTCATTAATCGAAACGCTCGCGCTCTCTTACAGTAATCGCGCGCGACCACGCGCGACGATACCGATCCGCGATTACGAAATACGAAATTGATCGCGCTTAAGCGAGCGCCTTCGAGCCTCGGAATTACATCCTGGTCAGTTTGCGGTGCAAAGATCATACCGGAAGTTGCGAACTAGTAACTTTTTGCAGGGAGCACCGCGCTTTTTGCGCGCGCGCGCGACTACCGTGCGGATTAAGGCAGGCAGAGAAACACCGGAGCGAAGCCGGCGAGGGGAATGGCTTATCCGTAGAATCCGCTCCGACCTTTGACCGCCGCCACCATCGTCGTCACCACTACCACTCCTCCCCTCCTCCCCCTCCCACCAATCTCATCCCTCCGACTCTGGATCGTTCTCTGGCCTTGGTTCAGAGTAATTAAGCGTGTCCGTGGAAGAGGGACGTGCCGAAAGTTTGGCCCACCTCGCTGTAGCGGCGCGTTCTCGCCCGGTTACTTTCCTCCACCGTCTCCCTCGTCATCGCGACGCCACCGCGCCACCCTTGCGAAATCGGTCGACGCCTATGCCGCGACCGTGAGACATTGGACGGGCGGGATGAGGGCGCGGCAGCCTGAAAGGATCGAAGGGATAATGGATTCCGAAACTAAATGAAACGCGAGCTCGCGTCGCGTCGCGTCGCGTCGCGTCGCGTCGCGTCTCGCTACGCCGCACCGCACCGCACCGCACCGCACCGCGTCGAATCCACGGCTAATCTCGAAACTTCGTTAAATGTCCGTAATTGCATCCTGCGACGACCCAGGCATCCGCATCGCTTCGCGGTGCTCTTCGCGAACAGCCAGGGAAGACTCGGCGGGCCGACAACGACTAAGACGACGACGACGACGGTCGCATCCATTTCTCCGCAACGCTTTCGGCACGACCAGCGAACTTCGATAGAATTTCACGCAAGTTCGATTGGCGGTCCTCTTAAAATGCGAACGGCAACGCGAAAAGCTTTCCTCCAGCCCCTTTCTTCCACTCCCTTCGGCGTCCGCCTACGGCGTCTCGCGGCGGCGGCGGCGGCTCTTCGACGAGAAATTTGTCGGTGACATGACAAACGCGAGGGTGAAACCGAATTGCGTCACTCCCTTTGCTCCTACGGGGATATCCTATGGGGCTGGTTTTAGCCGTGGACACGCACTTGCTGACGGCAAATTTCCACTCGGGATTTGAAGAATCCGTTGCTTCGTCAAATCGAATCAATCTCTATAAGAGACTTTGGGTCAGAAACTTTGGGATTATATTCTACGGGATATACGTACTTACGTGTATGTCACGTATACGCGTATATGCGTAGATCAGAGGAACACACGTTCGGAATCCAAGAATGGACATTTGACAGATTTCAAGTATACTACCTCAACTATTGTTGAAATTAACGGCGAAATCAAATCGAACGCGTATCTACGCTCGACGTTTGTCTGAATGATTCTGATGAAGAACAGAAGAAAAGAAGACAAAGATGTTTTTCGCACAAAATTCTTTCGCATAAAATCTCGCCCGTGTGAATTACCGCGATACCGCGATATTGTTGTCACGGCCGAGATCGATCGGCGTGACTTTCGCGGCGAGCAATCGGAAACACATTAATAAAGCTTAATAGTGTACAAATCTTTCGGCGAGACCCGCTGTGTACATAATTAAACGTACGACCATGTATAAACCATAGACCTGAAATTATATCGCTGCAATTTGCATCGCGTATCCTAAAACGATTTCATTTATCTCGTCCGGACTCCAATTAAATGAGAAATCGACTTCGACTCTAAATTACCGTCAAAACATGGAAATATCGACACGAGAGCGCGTCGGCAATAACCGGCCAGTATCAGCGAGTTTTTGCCGGAGAATGTTATTCGCCGCGCTGTGCCGAAGGGAAGCTGCTGCCGCCGGTATATGGCTTACTAGCAGCCTGCGTCTTGCTAAGCGAAGAGAACTTTGTAAAATCTCTTTTTTTCCGGCAACTTTGCAACCCGATTTTGCCCTCGATTTTACTCTCGTATCCAATTTTACGGGCAAGGCCTCCCTTCATGTCCTCGCTATATCGGTCCATCCCCTTTTCTCCCGCCCGCCCCGACACTCGCGACGTCGCAATTTCTGCTCTATCCCCACTTGCCCGCTTCTCGTTGGGACACTTTACCCGCGAGTGGCCTGTAGCCTGTATGCGGAAAGGCTGTGTGAGGACAATTTTACATAAAAAAGCATCCAGCGCGGAACTCGTAATTTACCGAATATTCCAAAAATGTCCTCCGTCGAGATACAACATTTCCGTTGACTCGAAGCATGTTCAAGTAATATTCAATATTGAAAAAGGGGAGGCGAGAGAGGGGGAGAGAGGGGGAGAGAGGGGGAGAGAGGGGGAGAGAGAGAGAGAGAGGGAGAGAAAAGTGACTTATTTCATATCGTAAAACGTAAATTTCTCTACGCGTCTTATCATGTAAGGGAAGAAAAAAAGATACGAATGTGTGCGCGCGGTGAGTGAAATTGTCACAAAGCCGACGATAATAAATCGCAGGAACATAAATGCAGGATGATTATCGCGAGAAAGAGTCAACAAGAGACTTTTCAAAGATAGAAATTCAAAGGAGCGAATTCAAAGGATATTCTTCACAATAATAAGTAAAGAGCTGTGCTATGCCGCGAAATGGGCGAAAAAGCCTCGACAGCCAAGTCTCTGGAGAAAAGTTAATTTTTCAAGGCTAAAAGGAGGAGGCGAGGAGCGAGGGAGCGAGAGAGGAAAACGCTACAGGGTGAGTGCTACAGAAAGAAAAAAAATACGGAGGGGGGGAGGCAATTCTGCCGCGCGCTACGTTGCGCTACGCGGCGCGGCCTTGACTCGTCGCAATTAATCGGGGAACGCGCGCGCGCGCGCGCGCGCGCACTCGATCCGCTCGTGATGGATCGTGGATGACGATTCCACGGGGATGACGATATAGTCGAGCCGTAATTCGATTAGCTTTACGACATACTTGTTCTACCGTCCGGGAGCAGCGTGTCGAGAGCATTGAGTGGATACGCCGAGCAGGTGATATTACTGTAACGCCAGAACTCCCGTGCGGACAGCTCCAGCATCTCACGGAAGACCTCGGCACGCCCCAGCTGGCAGGCGAGTGTCAATGGGGTCAGGCCTGCGGCATTCACGATTCCGTTGCGAGTGGGAAGCTTGGGATGTCGCAGGGCATAGCCGAACATGTCCTACGTCAAACAACGGTTCTCCGCTGTATAGGCTTGCTTTCACCGGGGCGAGGGGGAGGGGGGAGGGGGAGGGGAGTAACACGGAAACGTGCGTTCCGTGTGTGTGTGCGGCGGTGTTTCCGAGTTTCCGGTGCAACGTGATCTGAGATCACTCTGGGATAAACTCAAGGGACAAGGGAGGGATATAGATAATATCTGCGACGAAACGACGACGCGAACGTAATAACGTAATAAGTAAGCGAGAGTAAGTAAACGGTGGCAATACGCACCAATTTGTCGCACACTACAACCATGTGCAAAATCATATTTCCGAAAGAATCCTGCTCGTCAGGATCGGCGCCGGAGTCGAGCAGCAGGTTGTAAACGCTTTCGTTGGCGCAGCACGCGGCCCACGCGAGCGGGTACTCCCCGAGATACGCGAGTCCCTCGTAATCGGTGTTCCTTACGGGATTCATCCTCTGCTGGTCTCTGGGCAGGAAGAAGCTGCCGATAGCCCGTTGCGAGATGATCGCGCCCGCCTCGACCAGATCCTGCACGAGCTCGTTGTTGTTGTAGGCGATCGCCAGATGAAGGGCACTAGCGCCGAGGTATTCCTCGCCCTCGACCACGTCGATGGCCAGCCGTGGGAAGCACTTGAGCAACGTGCGCGCTATCCTCGTGTGCATACGCGTGTCGCATATGATGAGCACGTGCAGCAGGCTCTCTCCCAGCGAGCCTCTGTACTGCATCTGCCAGCAGGCTTCGTGGTCGTACCACTGTGCCAACGGGTCGAAGCGCGACAACGACGCCTCGATCGGCAGCACGACCTGCTCCAGGTCGCGAAACTTCCAGCGTAGATACTCGGCGCGATTGATCACCTGACCCTTGCCGTCCGCGTACATCAGGATGCCGAATTGCTCTCTTATCAGTCTCTCGACCTCCGGCTGGCCGCCCTGGTTGTAAGCCTCTATCAGCTCGCCGCCCTTCTTGTAGTTGGCCAGCCGATACAACAAACACTGGTCCTCGTTGCTCGCCTGGCTGATCACGCGGTCGAGGATCGAGCCGGCGTTGACCTGGCTGCCGCGGCCGCGACACGAGCAAACACCACCCATTCAGACATATTCTCCTCTTCTTCCGAAGACCTTCCGCCGAGACCTGTGTGACTGCGAGAGCTCTCGGCTCCCACCGAGTCTCTCGTTCTCTTATCGGGCCCTTGTCAGCCCTACGAGATCTCCACTATTCTCTCGAGCGTTTCCACTTCTCAAGGTCGAACAACGCGCCATTTCCATCGCGATTCAGAGCGAAAAGCCACTCTCGATCGTATGGCTACTCGCGGCTGACTCCATCGATATAACACTCGGGGGATTCTCTTACCCCTGCGAGGGGGGAAGGGGGTGTGCAGCGCGCACAGGTGGAGGAGAACGGAAGAGAGAGAGAGAGAGAGAGAGAGAGAGAGAGAGGTTGTAGTGTTCGCGCTATAGCAACCAACCCCGATCCATAAACGGTGCCTGGTGCGAACGGACACGGGCAGGGTCACCACCGCACCGTCGCGAAATTGCATTTTCATGCGAGCGGATTTTTACGCAAGCGAGACAAGTCGATGACACACACACACACACACACACACACGACGTGCCACCGGCCATTTAGCATAATTTTCGGGCGTAATTTTAACGAGTCCACTTCTCGATCCGAACGCGATCCGAACGCGAATCGCGGATGCAGTGATGGAGACCGTGACTTACTTGTCGTAAACCGCGCGTCGATTGTTTGACCTTGACACACTTTCCGGGCGGACGGATTATTCTTGGCGCCGGATATTTCTTGGGACCAGTCGCAAGGACGCGCTGTGTACGCGCCGAAAATTAACAATATGGAGAAAATCATCAACGATATAGAGAGAAAAGAAATTTCAGGCAAATAAAATGAAAGCGCATAATTAAATGCCGCGGAAAGGTGAATATATATATGTATATACATATGTATATGTATATAGAGAGAAGGGGGGAGAGGGAGAAGAGAAAAGATGTGAAAAATTCAAAAGTAACACAGAAAGAGGAATCAGGATTATTGAGTAAAGTTACATATAATTGGATAAATCGATAATATTAACGCACATGTGCACGCACAAACGCGTCCCGCGCGGTTGAATCACTTTAATCGAGATAAAAATATTAATTATATTTTTCCATTAGTCCGCACGCAGTCGTCCGCTTGGGGCTGATTTCTCGCTCCATTACGCCCATATTTACGGGACGGGAACGGCGAAATCAATTTCCCACTCCTCCGCCTCCCTTCAAAGTTCGAATAAAACAGCCGCACACGACGTGTATCTGCGTTTGCAAAAGTGCACCCGTACCTCTGACCGAAGCGCAGTGGACGGGAATTCCATTCCCGTCCCGAATTCGGACGCTACAATAATATGTACACATTGTTACATCGAGTATCGGTGTCAAGCCGATACTGCCAAAATGTTAAATTGTCAAAAGATCCGGGGCGTGCAGGAGGCTGCAGGATTGAACGATCGCCGCACGCCATCCGGTATCCATGTTTCAAGCACAGCTACGCCGCCAACAGGATCGTTCGTTAATTAGAAATGGCCGCGTTCAGCAGGCCTGCACTGAAACTGAAAACTTTTGCTTTGCAAAAATTCTATTCAATATGATGAATCTGTGATTCGCGATTCGTATGTGGATGATATACGTGTGTACACAAGAGTCTTTGACTCTTTGACTCTTTGGCTCTTTGACTCAAGATTAAGAGCGGGAACATCAACGGGGTTGACGAATCTTGCAACAACCGCGGTTGCAAGGCAAATCGGCGGCGGGGTAAATCTGATGATTCGCGCTGATTCGAGTATTCGTGAAAAATCGCGCGATCCCGCGCATAACGAGACGCATAACTTCAGCAGTGCGCCGCGTATTTCATCGCATCGGATGAATCGCGTCGTCGTTGTCCTCGTTCGGCGGACCATGATACATAGTCGACGTATTACACGCCGGTCACGCTATTGTAAATTGATGCCTCGTCATTCCCCGAATGCGACTGCGAACCGGCAAAAAGGTACACATTTTCAATTGGACACGTAGCGCGGCGCGCTACCGGATGGATCGAACAAACGCGCGTGCTGCAACAGCGACGCGCGAGCGGATGCGGCCACTGCAGGTGGCGTGTAATTTAACGAACACGAATATATCTGATTCACATACTGACGAGGAGTAAGTGCAGCCTAAGTGGACACTTCACGTGCCTAGACGAGGAGCATGGACACACTTAACGCTTTCGCAATCGCGCGGAGAATCCGCGCAAGTGCCCGAGGGCGGAGCCGTCGTAACAGCCCTGTTCTTGCGAAAGTTTACCTCGTCTCGAGAGAAGCGAATTATTATTATTTTCCGACGTCGTGTCCATGTCGCATGCGCGCACTGCCGAACCGCGACGCGACGCGACGCGGTCTTTCTCGGTCCGCGCCGATGAGTGTCGACGATTCGAGTTGGAAAAAATTCAGAATACATTTCAACGCAAAATAATATGACCATACCTACCTCGCGCGGAGCGCCATTTAAATATTGTATTTTTTTCATAATATTTTCGACGCTTTCGTTACTGTTTTATCTTTATAAACTCTCTCGTTATTATTCTTACAAATATTTGTTGCCCAAAAACAAACGGTCTTTTTTCTACATCATACGCGGACGGAAAATTTGCGTAGCCCCATTCGCAGGGATTAAAATATTTCCAAAAATATTGTTAAACCATACGCTTTCATTCACTGGCCCTTTCAATTAATACATTGTTTATGCAGTTCAATATGCAAACTCACTTTTTTTTTCCCCCGTTCGTTGCGGAGCGACCGCAACAATACCGTGAGTTTGCTCAACGTGATAAACTTCCAAATTTACACAGCCACGGTGAATCTACGAAAAGAGATAACGTTCGCTGGCCGCCGTATCTGGGCGCCGTAATATATACGATAAAATGTATTTTCACAAACTGTCACGCGTTTGACAAGCACGAGAGAGAGAGAGAGATTTCGTAATATATTTAATACCTATATACGTACATATATACATGTATGCATGTGTGTATGCATGTATACACACACACACACGCACACACATAGATATACTCGTATGTATATGTATGTAACGAAGATTATCGTCGGATATCAATTTGAATCGATGAGAACGCTACGACCGCGCAATTTATTTACCAGCGTGTACATTTTAAACGCACGGACGCCGGATGTTTGTCGGCAAAACGAGTTTCCTCGGTGCCGTTAGTACCGCATGCAAATTCGCGAGCGTAATTCGACCGCGAACTTAAATCACCGGCTTTAAAGAGCCGACGCGTCGTCATCGGTTGAAGTCCTCGGCTGAAGAACCAGAATCTTCTACGGATGCCGTCGTCGCGCGCTAGCTAACACGACGAAGAAAACTCTGCGCACATACGTACATACTTATACCTATACTCTATACCTATACAGTGCGACGTATAGCAATTACGATATTTTCAGCGCCAGAGTGACTCAACATCTGCGTCGCGCGTCGATCTTACCATCGGGTACCAGTCTCGACAGAGAACATTTATTTATCACTGATTCATAAGTTTGCCTTCTCCGCTCAACGTATACAAAGTTAATATGATGAGCGCGATAACACTCAAAGCTAATATTCATTCGAATATGACTTTAACGAGCTCACGCTCGTGTTCTACGAGCCTTCGTCAAGCGAGGAAGGTGTCAAATATCGTGTCAAATATCTTTTTGCGAAAATATCCCACCTAATGCCGCCTTATCTTTGACTCGGTGACGAATGTGAAAAACAACATTCTGTTATCTCTGTGTATTAAAAAACGAAAACGGAAGAATTATATACAGCTCAGCTCAACCTCAGGCATACCTCGTTAATAGACATTGTATGTCTACGTCGGTGATTCATTATCGTTCGCGAGCTTTTCAAAGGCGAGAGGATCGCAAAGTCTAATCGCAAACTGTATTTGCGAATAACGGACTGACGCGTTTGTAAAATCGCGGACACGCGATGGCAGATCGGATATTATGAAAGGGAATGATGGGAATTGTGAAAGTAAAAAGTGTTGCGTAAAAAATCTAGCATCGCACTGGCGACGCTAGCTACATGTGGCTTGGCACACATAAAGGGAGATGATTTTAAATTACACAATGAACTTATCAGAGTGTGATACAGACGTCTCGAGAATCGTGTCGACAGCGTCGAGGCTAATCCGCTTGCCTTATTTGTTCGTAGCACGTTGCGATTCTCGCCCGCCGACGCGACGACACGGCGCGCGTTGTTACCTTTAACCAATAAAATATTACTCTAGACGGAGCTGCGTATTACGTAACCACGAGTATCGTAATAAGTTACGTGTCGTTACTAGTTAGGGATTTACGAGTAATGAAGTATGCGATGTTCCAGCTGCGCTTCTGTAATAATGGCATTTACATTATATAAACGGTTGACGGGGCGCAATAAGATTAGTCGGCGTTCTCATCTGCATTTCATAACCAAGAGATATACATAAGTTCAAGTACAGGGCTGTCAGGGAAGTCAGGGAAGGGTTGAGGTGGAAGAATCAGGAAGAATCAGTAATCAGGAATCAGGGAGAAAAAAGAATAGCGCGTCGATATTCAGCGATTAAGATTTGCAGGATGTGCGCGTTAGAGTCGCACGGAGAGCAGCGAGTGTGAACATTATTTCCAACTGCTACGCTATAATTTATGTCGCGTTTATGCAAAAGTGGATAAATACGGAACACTGTGACGCAGAACTCAAAAGTTGTTTGCACAGAACGAAGAATATGTCAAGTGTAGAACGCAAAAACTTTATCGTGATATTGCTCCGACGAATCGTCCTGCAAATATTATCATTGGCAACATTTTCACTAGATTAAAGCTGTATAAGTGGCAAATAAATTTATGACAAGAGGCAGAGGGAGAGAGAGAGAGAGAGAGAGAGAGAGAGAGGGAGAAAGGGATGTCACAAAGATAACGGTACTTTGTGTCGTTTCACAAACGCGTTTAATTATTGTCACGCTTCAAGAGTACAGCCACAACAACGGGAGACGATATACGATTCCACGGATATTTCGAGAGCTTGTGTCGCGCTTTGTTATTCCGCACGGCTTCTTCTTAATAAGATCTTTTTTTTTCCAACATACCGCGAAGTGCGAAGTGTCAGCGACACAATACGGGCAGAATTGCGGAAAGTCGGGCGCACGGGAGTCGAGTTCGAGGCGAAGAGAGAACTGAATGCGGAACTTAAATTATGCACGCTGCGTCTTCCGACGCGCCGTTAAATACATTCAACCGATTGCTCGCACTCACAGTGGCAAGAGTTCACGACGAAAGCAGTAGCCTTCGGCCCGCGGCCATTATATGCCGGCTCTTCCGCATCATAAATTATAGCGGGTACGCGCGCAGGCCGGAAGGATCACAGGAAGCGGGCATGAAGCCGAAAACAACAGCGTGATCCACATTGCAATCGACCCGTGAAATGCATTTTCACGAAATTACCAGCGGCCTGTGAATGAGCACGATGCGCGCGACGCGGCCGCTTCGAAAATTCGTCCAAAATCCGGCTACATCGGCTACATATGCAATTACTTTTAATCAAACTGTCTACAGCAGGCCGTCGTCGTGTCGATGCGCGCGGTCACTGAACGCACGACTTGACGGTGTTCTGCCCTCCCCCCCCCCCCTCCCATGCCATCTTCTCCCTCTCTCTCCCTCTCTCTTTTGCGCTTTCTTTCTCCAGCATTAATCTATCGCACACACACACACACACACACACACACACATTTGTGACTAATTGTGCATCGGCAAACAATGTGTCGGCACCACGATTGTCACGAGCGAAAATGCTCATTATTCTTCGATGACACGATGTCGAAAGATCGCGCCTTCGAAAACGATTTCTTTTTCTAGAACGCGTGACCGTACCACGCAAATGGACAAGACGTATTCGCGTCTGTGTGTGAATTACGATTCGTTGGAAAGTCAATTCACGAGAAATCCAAGTCGAAGAAAATCAAAAGTGATTCTTTCCAATCGTATCGATTAAACAAAAGATCGTGCGGTGCATATAGTAGTTTTCAGAAGCTTATTATCCTCTGAATTTATGATTGTTAGAATCAATTATTCAGATATCCGTCGTCGTGATGAAGAGTCGTGATTCGTGAGAAATCCCGAGGCGAAGAGCGATTATTTCACGTTTAAATAATCACACACGTTTGAAAGATCGGAAGATCTTTCGACGCGCAACTTTGAGAAAATCATCGCTCTCTTAATCCCCATCGGTTAAAGTCTGTTAATCGGATATCTGTCACGGAAGAAATTTGTAGCGTGACACGCTCGACTCGCGGAGAGCTTAATTTGGATCCCTAATGACCCCGGTGAGATGAGCTGAGCTTTTCAACCAATTTGTAAATTGCAATCGTCTTGCTCGAAAACATCTGAAAACTTCTGAAAACACAATACATTCACCGCGCTTCTGCTGTAACTCTAATCAACGTTAGACGTAGATACTTGCGTAATATGTACTTGCAGAGGAAGCATGAAAGATATCTGGAGCGATAATAGGTGCAAGGTTAAATTCATACGCGGTAGACGGCGAAACGGACGTCGCCGTAATAAAAACACCGTTTATCTCCGCTGCACAATGAATCGGTTGTATTCATTGTCTGCTGCGATTTTGCGCAGAACTCGCGTATGAATCGCGTGCATTTGGAAAAATCCGCGGAACTAACGAAACAATCAACGCGCGCGCAACATACACGCTGCATTTCCGTGTCTTGTACTTTGCTCGAAACGTTGATTACTAACGTAAACGCAAACACAGCTATCCCCCCCCCCACACACAACTATCGGATGTTCTTAGAAAATGACACGGTTACGTGAATTTGCCGGGCCGGCCGAGCTATCCGATCAGCAGCAAACAACACAACCTAGCGCAAAGCAATCGCGGATAATGAGAGTGTGTCTCTCCTCGTGTGTAACAATCGCTTTATTGCTTTATCTGACTTTATCCGTCAGGCCGGAGAGAACGGCCTTTCAATACGCTTTTTTCAAACGTTCGCGAACGAACGAACGAACGAACATTCAAACGTCGCATCGCAAATGCGTGATTCGGAAATCGATATCCCAGCGATGATTTTACGGCTCGCGCACTCGCGCGCGTACGATGTTTCGCATTAATCTCAGAATAATTTCAAAGTAACTCGGCAAATTTGCCGAAGAAGGCAATTTTTAGGCCCGTTCGTTCCCGTTCGAATATATCATGACTGCACGAGAGAGAGTAATTAATTAAAACACCCCTGTCGTAACATCCCCGACCGTAAAAGTAACGAGATCTCGTGTTTCAGGGTTAAGCCAGGCTTGTCAGCCAGGCAACTTGCCTGCCTCCGAAGTTTCTCGACGACTCGTGCAGTGGATTTCTTATGCATGCGCGTTGCACGCGTACACTATCCGCGGGTGTACACACCCGCGTGTTGCGAGACGCACGATAATTATCTTATTCCGCTGTGCTACTTCGCCTCCGCCCGGCGGTTGTTGTTCAACAACAACAACAACAACAACAACAACAATGATGATCGTATATACAACTCGCGCGCGCACACCAGCCTCGCTTACCGCACGCTTATACACGCGTATACACGACAAAAATCTTCTTCACGACACTTACTTTCTCTCTCTCTCTCTCTCTCTCTCTCTCTCTCTCCTTTCTTTGTCGTGGCGATAAAATTCATTGACTATCTGCACGCACTGAAAATGTCATTCTCAGCTTCTCGGCGCATTTTTCTCAGAAGTTGCCTCCTCGGAAATAATGATCTCTCGTCTGTAACAGAGTCCGACAGCGCAGCGAGATAACGTTTAAAGCGTTTACCGAGAATGTCGTATTACTCACGCGGTTATGCACCTTGCCCGACAATTCGTATAATTATCGCGAGCGATAGACTGGCGGAAAGAGAGAAGCAGACGGAGACGTTACGACGTCGCGTAACGACAGGTGTGCACCGGGATAATGTGATTAATGGCAGCCGCGCATTACTCGTTCACGGAATCATCGCGAAGAGGTATCACCGAGGCATGGTGATTAGCGCGCGCTGTGTTTATCGCTGCCGCGACGGGACAAAATTACGTAGGACATTCGATACTGGGAAAAGCCGCAACGTGACTCAAGCGTCGCGCTGCCGCCCGCTCGCGGTCACGTGGCCACTGACCGACGCGTCACGTGACGTAGCGCGCGCGACCGCTCATTGGCCCGGCCGCGATCGAGATATCGCATATAGAACGTCGCGGGGCAAAGAGTCGGTGTTTTACGCGGCCGGTCCAGCGGCTAACCTTGATCCTTTCGCGAGCCGTACCGTGACAGCCATCGTCGTTCGCTAGCGTACTGTGGAGACCGGTCAGTGTTGGTCGGAGCATCGTCGAGGCAACAAGCGAGCGAGCGAGCGAGCGAGCGAGCGAGCGAGAGAGCGAGAGAGAGATAGAGAGAGAGAGAGAGAGAGAGAGAGAGAGCGAGCGATCCAACGAAGAAGTTAACCGACAACCGGAGACAGGAGTTCCGCCGACAGAATGAAGACGTTCGTTCACATTCTACTAGTTGCGACGTGCCTCGTCGCGTACGCGCGCGGTCTTCCGGGTGAGTAAAAATACGATGCGACTTTTCTCGCGAGCATGTCCTTATATCGTCACGCGGTTTGTACGCGTATGCCGGACGCGTACACACTTGCAATGCAAATAACGAAGAAATTATCGCGGTAAACCTCGAGGTTATCGCACTTGCTTACGCACCGACGCGACGCGTGCTCATTCATCACCGTATTCGAGGCACGCTACGATGCGCGATCCTTATCGATCTTCCGCGGTCCAAATTAATTTAGATAAGCCGGCCGATGTTAAGTACATCTTCGCATCTTCGCTCGGACGTTGTTACCGAAGACACAGCTGAGCGTAACAAAACAGTCTCGCGTTGTTCGCGAGGCGGAATGTTTGGAAAAATACGCGGCCGATCGTCGTAGGGTAAGGTTCTGTCGGGCTCACCTCGATGGAGAAGTCACGAGAAGGGACGAGGACGAGGGAAAGCCGGGAAACCGGGTTACTCTTTCGACACTAAAGACACTCGTATATACGTATACGAAATACGCGCACGCGGCATGTCTCTCTCAAATTAATCAACTTTCCTTTCAGCGAGGTTGACGCGTAATATTTCTCAGTATAAATAGATACGCGTAAATTGTTAATATCAAACGCTCGTACGTAAGTAATTCAAACTGAAATCTTTTCGAGGAGCCTCAACCGAGGTTGAGAGCTCCTCGAAATGTTCAGTGTTAATAAATAACGCAAGAACGCAGAGATTGGCATATATAATAGTATAGTATTATGCTCTTATTAAAATTCGATTATGTTGAATCACGATTGAGTTTCTTGGCTAACAATAAGTTCTAGTTTCAAAGGTTTCTGCATGGAGAGGTTTCCGCTAGTGGTAACTACTTCGTATTATTCTTCCCGCAGACAGAAGACATTCGAGCCTCTTCATTCGTGTCTTTGATAATCATTCTTCGGTAAAATAATTCCTACACTTGTGACGATCCGAGTGTGACCCGTAAACGAATTGGGGCCTGTAAAATAAATAAAATTTTCAAATGAGCAAAGCTGTCATAACATGCGAGCATGCGCTATTGTTATCTTATCAATTTGTTCGTTATACGTTAGACGGAATTATATATATATATATATAATCACGTTTACGAGAGGGTAGTTTCCATTTCCTTCCGGCTCGAAATTGCCCTTTAATTGCTATTCAGAGCTAATTGCAATTCGCGATCGTCAAAGTTACCTATCTACGCCGGGTCTACAAAACCGGATTATCAGAGTCAAACAAACAATGTGGTGTATTCCAATGTGCTTAATAATTAGCTCCTTCGATTGTAAAGGGAAACGGGAAACGCCGCGGATGCTATTGTTCAATCAATAAGAACTCAAAGTCGAATAGAAATAACAATCCTCAGGCTTAACGATAATGGATAATGGATAATGGATCAATGACGATGACCTCCGATCACCGATCGTAAGAAGTGAAATACTTGATCGATGAACCGAATTAATATAGTTCATTTCAACTGACTTGGTTGCACAGGCTCCAATCGCGCAAACAGATTTCTCCCGCGTGGTCTTTCTTTTTTAAACGAGATAAACGAGACCCGATTATGTACGAGTAGCAATCATATCGTCAAAATGGAATCTTTTAAATCAACTCACCGTTCACTTCGCCGTCACGACCGTCCAACTCGCTTTCTGCGGAGAAGAATCAATTAGCGTAGGTTCGCAAAGTTCGCAGCCCTTGGAAATTTCGCCACCCCGCAGCGCGGGGATAACATAAAATGTTATTTGCGTTATCGCTGTAGCTTATTTTCTCTATATATCCTCGAGACTCGGACGTTTATCGCGGCTCTGTTCGCGTCGCATCGAGCGATTCCTCCTTGGGATTATTTGCACTCGGTTCACGACATTTATGCGTCGTTATAAAGCGAAGCGGGACTCCGGACGCGAATATCTCGATTGAATGTCAGGTCACGAAGAAATCGTGGAAGCAGATAGCACGCTCGAACTACTTAAGGCTGTTGTTTACTCGATTACAACTCGATATGAAATTCACTTCCAACGTAGACTTTGCTAATTAGCATCGGCCCCGTTTTTGCGAGACGGAACGGCAGGAAGCTCGTTTAATTGGAGCTGCTTCGTCCCCAAGATAATTGTCCGAGCGAATTCCCGTCGAACTCCAATTTATTCCTCTTGATTTTAATGTAACTTTCTCTCTCTCTCTCTCTCTCTCTCTCTCTCTCTCTCTCGGTCATCGCGTTTGTATTGTGTTCCGTATGGGCGCGTTTCGAAATAAATCAACGCATGTTACATTACTTCAGGAATAATTTTTCTAGTCGTACGTACCGATGAGATTTTACTTGATTTTCGTTTGGCATCTTTGTATCCATCGGAATATTCGAAAATGCGAAAAAATCCTTAGCATCTGCTTAAAAAATAGCGTTTATAATTTTGATGATGGGAACGACTCCGCGTCTGAAGGCACGATGAACGAGTTTGCGATCAAATAATTGTACATGCATAAATGCATGCCGCGTTATTGCGCACCGCGCGAGACGAACATTTGTAAAACAATCCCGCAACTTCGCGCGCGCATTCGTTGCAAAGCGCCAAATGATACGAATATTTTATCGTGACGCACGCAGTGTGTAACGCGCGAGGCATTGCGCGAGACCAATTGCGTGTTACCAATACGTAACAAAAGTCTTCAAATTGTCAACTGTACCGATAACGGTACCGCTAGCAATTACCGCAAAAAAAAAAATGTCGAATGATAGCGTTCGGCGCACACGGAGAGATAAAATTTATAATTGTAAAGAGCCATCAGAGAGCGGCCGGTGTTCACCGGCCGGACACGAAGACGTATAATAAGCGCGAAGTGTGTACAATCGTATAATTAAATTTCTTCCGCCACAAAGGCGAGTATTACGTCCGTTATTACGTCGGCGTTGGACGTGCGCGATGCATTCTCCGTTGAAGCGTTTCCCTTAATGTGATGCACTTGCCAGTTTTCATGTCGTGAGATTTCGCTGAGGTGAGATTGCGCCGTGCGCGGTGTCTCCGGCAGGAGAACGTCCGCTCTCATTACGCCCGCCGACAGCCGGGTGACAGCGGGATAATAATGTAATTTTTGGGACTTGCCAGGACGGCCAACAAGCTGGGAAATCGAGTTTTCGGCGAGTTTCGATCGTGGGGAAACTCCACTCCCGTCTTGCGTCATCCGGTCTGCGTGAGTACGCGACGAGTACGCGACGAGTGGTTTATCGCCGTCAAATGTGGTGTGAGCCTCGCTCGCGGCGTGGCGCGACGGATTTAAACAGATTTGAGATTTAGCGCTTAATCCTATTAAGAATACACGTAATCGTCGCGCGCACCGCGGAGTAATCGTGCATCTTTGCGTCTTTGAGGTGAAGCTTGCGCAATCGTCCGTAATCGTAAATCTCTCTCTCTCTCTCTCTCTCTCTCTCTCTCTCTCTCTCTCTCTCTCTCGCTCTCTCTCTCTCTCTCTCTCTCTCTCTCTCTCTCTCTCTCTCTCTCTCTCTCTCTCTCTCTCTCTCTCTCTCTCTCTCTCTCTCTCTCTCTCTCTCTCTCTCTCTCTCTCTCTCTCTCTCTCTCTCTCTCTCTCTCTCTCTCTCTCTCTCTCTCTCTCTCTCTCTCTCCCCCCCCGTCTCCCTCTCCCTCTCTCCTTTGTCCCTTCCTTGTGCGACAAACGCACATGGCGCGATCGCGAACGTGCTGTTGTTCCCCCCATCGTTACTTTGGCTCATTCGCGAGTAATTGTACTTTATATCGAAACCAATACGATAATAGTCGAATTTGCGAGGGACGCGTTCGCGGACACGGCGCGGTTTACAAGCGCGCTGATAAAAGGGGTTATGCATATTTATGCTTGTTAACGATCAATTACATTAATACGTGTTGTTCACGTATTAAGGAATAATTACTGAGGCTGACATAAACGATTTACAAATGTTGCGTATAATTTCATAAAATGCGAAAGCAAGTAACACGCGTGTTTATTCATATATTTGACCAGCTGGTGCGTATACAACGTTCGATTCAGCGTTCATTTGAAATTACTGTCGAGAGCACACCCCGTTGAAAAGCGCAAGTTGATTTTCGCAAGGCCAGCATTGTTATCTATTTTAGTTTGTTGCTATCGGTCTATCACAACGAATTCGTTTGCAAGTAAAGTAGCTTGGCAAGACCTTAGTGAGATTCGTAACTACTGCGTTTCTACGGACGTGGATACGATCGCTGCACTGACTTGCGCATACGAGTACGTTTGCACAAAAATGTGTCGCGCAAATCATTCGATCAGTTCGACGTCAATTACAGCGGGAAAGAACTCGTGAGTAATTACTTCTGATATCGTATGCCGTCTCTTTGATTGGTTGGTCCATGCAGGCCCGTGCGTGCCGCACACAGCACAATCCGGTAATGTCTTTATTTCTTCTTCCTATGTTCCTATGTATCGCGATCGACGAGCCTCGATGTCGCCGCTTCCCTTTCACCCGCCCCCTTCACACGTGCAATCGTGCCCGATGCACACCCGTGTGTGTGTGTGTGTGTGTGTGTGTGTGTCACCCGTGTTGCCCGTAGCGCGCGCAATGCGGACGCTATATGATACACGACACGCACGCACGCACGCACGCACGCACGATACGATACGATACGATACGATACGAGCAGGGTACAACTAATGGACTCTGATCGCTCTCGCGCCTATTCCCCCTTGAGAGAAAACCTATTCTCTTTCTATTTCTACCCTCCTTCCCACGACACCTTCCCACGACACCATCAGTAGATGATTAAAGATCTTATTTATTTACGCTTATTGCAACAAACATGGATATCGACTGCATGAAATACACTTGCATGAAACAGTTGAAGAAAGCAAAAGGTGTTGCAATTAATAGGAGATAAGAAGTAGAATAAAAACAGAAATAACGTATCTTTCTCTTCATTAGTATATTATTCATTGTTAATATTTGAAGTATTTTCCAACGCGAACAGACATTTTGCTCTTGTATCCGCTGT